GCACCCCGGCGCGTCCCGCAGCAGGGGCGCCCTCGGGCGGACTGTCCAGCTGCACAGGGAGGGGCAGCAGAGAGGCAGTCAGGAGGGCAGCCCAGCGGCAGATCAGCGGCGCAGGGCAGCCAGCAGCGGGCCTGCTGCAGAAGAGCAGCAGCTGCACCAGTGATTGGTCCAAGCTGCACTACGCAGCACAGGGAGCAGCTGCACTTGCGGCACAGTTCGCAAGGGGAGGCAGGCGAAGCGCACCTTGACCTGGGAGAGCATGCCTGAGGGGGACTCCAGCCCAGGGCGGCCCCCAAACGGCGTCCCCATTGCCTTGGCCGGCTGCATCCGTGGGCGGGGGGAGGGCATGCCATAGCCATGCTGGAACGGCTGCCCCGCATACTGGGGGGCGTACTGGCGGCCGTATGGATCCTGATACTCGCCATACCGCGGCGGCCCTGGATAGCCCTGCTGCATGGTGGGGGGGGGAAACGGCTGATACAGCTGCCCTGGATATGGCCCCTGCTGGTACAGCCCTGGGTATGCTGGCTGCGCACCCTGAGGCGCCAGGAATGGTGCCTGCCCCCCCATGCCGGGCATGCCGGTCTGCTGCTGCTCCAGGGGGGGATAGTAGCTCGGGGTGGGGGGCCCCAAGAACGCTTGCTGCGGCGGTTGCTGCTGCTGCTGATGCTGTTGCTGTTGTTGTTGCTGCTGTTGCTGCTGGGAGGTGGCTGCTGGGCCCTGTTGCTGCTGGTGCTGCGGTGGGGCCGCGGGTGCGCCATACAGTGCGGGGCTGCCTGCTCCCGGGGGCCCTGCCTTGGCCTCAGGCCAGCCCGCGCCCTGGCTGGCCCCTCGCGCCAGCTCCATGCCCAAGCGGGACGCCTTCGGGGGCAGGCTGCTGCCCCACCCCGGCGCAGCCCGGGGATGGGAGTCGGCAGGGGGCAGCGCGGGCGAGCGCGGCTCTGCCTTGACAGGGGCATCCTCCAGGGAGCCCAGGCGACAGCCCCAGAGAACAGCCAGCTCATTGGCAGAAGGGCAGCCTGGCAATGCAGGGGAGGAGGCTCAGAACATGGGGTAGCACTGGTGAACACCACATAGCAAAGGTACGCGGAACAGAGCATCCTATCAAAATATCACAGAATAGCCCCTAACATGCCTGCAACCCTGGTTTGTCAGATGGCCAGCTCTAGCTGCCAAATCTGGCAGACTTACCAGTAAAAAAGTCAAACTTGACCCGTTTGTGGTGGGAGGCCGGGACTGCTGAATGGCTGCTCGCATCACACTCCAGGCAGAGGGACAGGTTCTCCTCAGAGCACCTGAAGGAGGCAGGTGCATTGCCACAAGCATCGCAGAGGAGAGTCCTCTCGTGCCGCAACGAGAGCGCATTGGCCTCATGGACTGACCTGTCACAGGACAGGCATAACTTTGCATTGTCTGCTCTGCAGAACACCGTTGCTTTCCTGGCCCCGCAGTATTCACAAGGAACCTCCATGTCCCTCTGTCTTGCTGCTCGTCTGTTCTAAGCAAGATACCCAAATCTGGCAATCAACCCGACTTGAGATCCCAAACCACTGGATGAGATGATACTTCTCAATCGCCTTCCAAGTCAGTCCAGCAGGGGTCCATCCTTTACCAAGCAATCCAAGAATTTGTGAATGGAGTGCACAACCTATCGATATGTAAATGTCTGTTAACCCTGTCGTTTCCGCAAGTTAACCGTCGCAAAAGAGCAAGTTCGCCAATCCTTGCAACAGCTTAGAAGATGCCCCTCGAATTGGACCGAGAAGAGGGACAGCTGCAAGAGATTCGATATCGAGCACTTGTTCAATCCCAATCACAAGTTCTCTTAAACCTGCCTAGCTGCCTGACAGAGCTTCCTCTCTCCACTCCCATCAATACTGGGGAAGAGTGACTAGGTATCGCATAAGGATACCATAGTTGCCGCCATAACAGCCTCGCTCTCTGTGGACTCTGGAGTACTCTGCCCAGTGGGTGTTGGTGCACACTGCATTACCGGGCCTGGACTGCGGTTCGGCAGTCTGTCCTCCTCGACTTCTCGACTTCACGGACTGATCCCTTGCCGCTGCGAGCTGTTTCTCTTTTTGGCGCTGACGTGGCGAGGATCAACCCGAAAAGCACGACGCTTTTTTGCAATCCGAAAGGCGCAAAGGAAGGTGACCTCCATCTCCCTTCCATATACCGTACCGGTATTCTTGACCGTACAGCAAAGGCGCAGCTTGGATTGAGGGCAGCCAATGACTCCATGACTCGGAAGCCTCTCTGCAACCTCCGAGCAGGTCGAGCCTGGGGTTCGCCCAAAAGCACCTTTTGTTAGATATTTTCAGTTGAAAGATACCAACAGCGTTGAACTTCAGTGAAGAACTCAAGTACCATAGTGGGCGGTGGATTGCTGTTTACCGACCGCGATGCAACCCCCACAGCAATGTTACACTGCACTGCTGACTCCTAAGCTACCGGTAGTCCCCAGCCCCAGGGCCCAGGCCCCGTGCGGCGCCGTGCCACCGTGCCCACCTGGTAAGCTTTATGGCAGCCTTTCCGCTCCGCTCGGCTCCGCTCCGCGGCGCGCACGGTTCATATAGCCTCACTCTCGAATAAGTAAGTTGCAGGTGGTGATGAAACAAAAGCGAAGGGGTCTGATATGAACTCCCAGGCTGGTCCCTAGTATCGTACATCGCCGGACGTGCCTTGCAGCCCTAGGTTGAAGCTGCGGAAACGAAACATGATTGCAGCTCTCTCGAATACTTCGAATCTTTGGACTGTCTACGCGCTCGATCCAATTGGCAAATGCGGCTATATTTAGTAAGGCGTTATAACGGGTGATATTTTGCGACCCAAGCCGGAGATCATTCACATTCAGAAGCATGATTTTGGCACGACCGAAAATATACTAGCACATGGACACACGATGCTAGGATTGATTTACTTGCACAACGAATCTACTGCGAAGGGTTCATAAGCCAAAGGTTATATTAATATCTTGCAAAATTGGTATCCAGTGTAAGCCTCTCCTTGGTCGTAATTAGCAGAAAGTTGTGGTTCCCTGAGTGCGAACCAATTGAGTATACCTTTTCACACTGTGACGCCCCAACATTATGACGATGGCAGGTGCGGGGCAAGCCCGCCTGGAACCGCGGCCAATCACTGTCATTCTGCCATAGTGTTCGAAATAAAGAAAAAGCCAAGATACGAAGGCTAGCAGAGCGAGATACTGTAGAGTTGGTACGCGATAGGCCCAGATGATACTGTTGCATAGTCGAAGCCTCTTAAAGCAACCCAGTTGTGCTCAAAACACAAACATTGTATGCCATGAGAAGCCTATGGCCGCACTGGCTACAGCGTACGAAAAGAGACCATCTTATTCACCTAGTCCGTTAGAAGAAGGACATCTCGAGCGAGTCAATCATCCTTGCATGATGCAACTGCTCAGGCATGCGCGGAAACAAGATCAGTGCCTTTTACTAGCTTATAGGTGGGTAACCTATAAGCTAGTAACCCTCTTGATAAAAGCTGGTCAGAGTATTCAAGCTCCAAGCTCGCTGGGCGACGTTCAGAACGACACTAAAAGGTCGGACGCCTACATACTTTACATCAGATACAATACATAGCTTACTCTACAGAAGGCAATCCAGCTTGCCTCAGACTAATCCGAGGACTCTTGGGTCGAAGCTAGCCTGACAAAATCCGTTATGTACTTTTCGTACAGCCTGCAAACAGCTCAACGCATCCCCTTGTACGCTTCTGCCACCTGGAACTGTAAAACCTGATGCTTTCCTAAGTATTCTGCCGGTCCGTGCGGATGCACATGCCAGGCCTTCCTGAGTCTATTTGAAGGATTCCGCTCACATTAATCACTCACTCAAATGCTCCCAGTTGTACTGTGCTGGAATTCGACCAGTGTGTAATGCGCGTGCTGCTCGTCTCTGGTCGCCACTTTGCAGCCGTCTCCTCCCCCTGCCCATTTCGCACCCCCCGACGCTACGCTAGCCGCTTCAGGTCGTCGAGGCTGTCCTGCCGCGCGAGGTCCTTCGGCTTGCGCCGCAGCTTGGCCCACACTTTCCGCAGAGGGCCCCGCTGCGCTGCGGCCGCGGCATCCGCCTCTGCTGCGGCGGCCTGCTGCGCCAGGAACGCGAGCACGGCGTCCGTCCCGGCGGCCACCACGGCCTGAGCACCACAGCGCGCGTTAGTTCAGCCCGGCGGGGCAACGCCAGCACTCCAGGCCGCTTAGCCCGCATGCATGCCCGCCAAGCAACACACCAAAACAATGCCGCACAAGCTACGAGGGCGCGTCTTGGTGCCTCTAAGCTGACCGGTCAACAGACGGGAGTAATGAATGGTGGTCGCACAGCTATCGGGGACACTCATGAGCACCGGGGGAAACCTCGGCCCGTTGCAAGATCAGACAGACGCAGCCGGTGTACCTTGGGCGGGTAGCGCAGCGGGTTGCCCTCCAGTGCGAGCACCTTCAGCTGCGCGAGGCGGCCCAGGCTGATGGGAAGAGCTCGCAGCGAGTTCTGCGACAGGGTGAGTGTCTGCAGGCAGCTCAGCTGGCCCAGCGAGGCAGGCAGCGCGCGCAGCTCCGCGAAGTTGCTGCCCAGGTCCACTGGGGGCACACGAGGCGACGTCAGGGACAAATGCGTGCGGCAGGGACGGAGGGAATGGCACTCACGAGAAACGCACGAGAACTCGACCACCTCTCCCGCGGTACCAGTAACGGACAGGGAGTGGGGGCGCGCACAGAGCGGCGTTTCGCCAACTTGGGGAAGCGACAGTCCTTAGCCATGAGTCGACTTGCAATATGCGGACCCCTTTGCCCAATCAGCAACAGCTCAAGGCCTTCTCCTTGGCAGTCGAGATGCATACCATCAAATACACCGGATGATCAACACATAGCACGTAAGGAAAAGCAGTCAGCTGATGTTTGCGGGGCCCTTCAGCTGCGCAAGGCTACTGGTTGGCTCACGCTGTCGCAGGCGGCGGCACTCCCCAAGCGCCTCAGGGACGTCCCGGATCTCGTTGTAGTGCACGTCCAGGCACGTGAGCGCGGTGCAGCCCCCGATGGCGGCGGGCAGGCCGCGCAGGTGGTTCAGGCTGGCCACCAGCGTCTCCAGCCCGGCCAGCGCCCCGATGGCCTCCGGCAGCGCGGGCAGCTTGTTGCTGGCCACGTTGAGGTAGCGCAGGCGCGCGCAGCGGCCCAGCGCGGGGGGCAGCTCCTCCAGGCAGTTGCTGCGCAGGTCCAGGTGCGTCAGCGCAGTCAGGCCGCCCAGCGTGGAGGGCAGCTCCGCCAGCCGGTTGAACTGCGCCTCGAGGCGCACCAGGCCCGGCAATGCGCCGATGCCGGCGGGCAGCTCCGGCAGCCGGTTCTCTGCCAGGCTGAGCTCCATGAGGGCCGGCAGCGCGGGCAGTGTGTCGGGGAAGAAGTCGAGCTCGTGCGCAAACTCAGCGCTCAGGTCGAGGCATGTGCTGGACGAGGTGGCCGCCTGGGCCAGCAGGCGTGGCAATTTCTCCTCAGGGACCTCCCGCACCGGCGCAGCCCCGGCAGAGGCTGCAAGAGAAGACCAACAGCAGGCGAGTGAGGGCCGACGAGAGGAGGGGGAAGGCTAGTGGGACTCCGCCATGCTACTTGGAGTTTGTACAACCTGACGCAACTGATGCGCGGGACATGCCCCTTCAGTTGACGAAATTGCTGCTTCAACAACGGGCCGGATCGCAAAATCCACAATATCAAGAGTTGTTTGAAAAGCTGACAAAGACAACGTATCACATGCCTTTCTTTGTGGGGTGTGTTGCCGTTCATTCAATCTGCAGAGACAAATTCCCGGATCCTCAAGCAACGAAACACGAAGTAGGCAGAAGAGTCGCCTCACTGACCTGGAATGCAAGGAAAGAATTTTGTATAAAAACTCCCTTCTCAATCAGCACCCACGCCAAGCACACACCCCACTATAGCTGCTCCTTGTCATGAGCCACAATGGAGCAGCTTTTGCAGCCTGAAACTTTCCCTGTCCGTCTGCTGCAACCAAAAGGACCCACCTGCAATCTCCAGCAACCTAAGACTGCACCAGTAAAAACTGACCCAGAACTCTTGGCCCCCATTTTGCCAAGATATGTCCCCCGTTTGCCGCTGCCTCAGCACTCATGGCATGCCCAGCTCCCGCCGGCCTGCCTCCTTCTGCCGGTGTGCCTGCCTAATGGCCTCACCTGCCGCCCTGTTCTCGCCCACCCTTGGGCCCCCTTCTCCCTGCTGCCCATTAGGTATCACCGCCGGCTCCGCAGCAGGCACCAACGTTGCCTTCCCGGACTGGTCACCACTGGTGGTCTTGTGGTGGGACAGCATTGGCACGCCAGTGAGAGCAGGCCCTGGTGTGTCCTCCCCCCGCTGCGGCATCTGCAAAGTGGGCAAGGGGTTCGCCCCCACCTGCTGCTTATCCTGCCATTCCGGCTCTGCCACAGGCTCGGCGGCAACACCCTCGGGATTGAGGGGGGCTGGGGGCTTGGTCGCCTGGGGGTTGGCAAAGAGCGCCCGCTCGGCCGACATGATGAGGTGGTCATAGTGGCGGTGCTGCTCGTCCAGCTCCAACACAGCCAACGGGGCCCGCTGCGCCAACTCAGCGGCCTTGCGCAGCCGACTTTCACGCAGAGCCTGCAGCGGAACCACTTCGAGGTGAGGGGATGGGCCGACATGGCAGCGAGGCAAACACTTCTGGAGAAAGGTTGGGGGCAACCTGGGGCAAACAATGCAGCAAAGAGAAGGCCTTTAAAGGACCAGCCACGAAAGAGCCTGAAGGGGGCTCTCGCTTCAAACGAAGACTCTATACTGCACCAAAACCGGTGATGCAATATTGACCACCGGACTGCATAATTGGGCGCCGATGATTCATTCTCATAGCAACAAGTTTACGTCCATCGAAGATTCAATGCTTCGGTGAGATAACCACGTATGTTATGCTCCTCACTGTTGCATTCTGCACTCCCAGTATTGCACAAATGAGGCTAACCAAATCACGACAGCGCAGCTGATGGGAGGGTTTTTGCAGCTCAAGTCCCACATGCTCAGGGCATAACCTTGCCTGCAGAGACGCGAATTGGGCGGCTTCTAGCTCGGGGGGCCGCGGGGCCAGCATGAGCTGCTCCAGGTCGCTGATGAGCTGCTTGTCACCCTCCACCAGCGCTGCCTGTGCCTCTGCCAGCTCCACAGGGGAAGGACGGGGCCGCAGCTTCTGGCGTGCCAACCGCAGCTCTTCCAGTGCGGTCTTCATCTCCGAAGTGGAGCCACCAGGCCCAACACCCAGGGAGGCGCTCATTGTGCTCATCGTCGCGCCCACTCTCGAAAGGCTAAGCCTAAATTGCCTTCTTGGACATCCCTGAGGGCCTGAGGCTGAAGCTGTTTGAGCTGACCAGTGCTCTCATGTTTGCTCAAACCCTTCAGTCTGGCAAACCCTAAAACCGCGTTTTCTCCCCCTCGAACTCAGACTCGGAGTCAGAGTACCGTACATACCGTGTACGGTACTCTCAGTCGTGTGGCAGAAGTTGTGCTCTCTTCCAACTTCAATCCATTCTCTGATTTGAAGAGGAGGAAAGCAGGGTGCAGCGCCAGTGTACTCTGCAAAGGTTTGCACGATGGCAGACACAGCGGCAAAGCCCCCAAAGAAGCTAGGCGTGCTGCAGAACTTTGCTGCATCAGCAATAGCAGCTTGTACTGCTGAGGTAAGCACTTTCGTAGATAGATCTTCAATCCAATGCAGGATCTGAAGTCGATATTACACCATGACAATAAACAGCAGGCAATGTTCTCTGGATTAGATCTTCTAGATAAGGTCATCAACCAGAATCTGATGCATGTATCGAGTCACAATGCTACCAAAACCACCACCGGAATGATTGCCATGTCTTCTCCCCTTGTGCACCACCAGATGGAGTGGTGCGGACCGAAAAACAAGCTTTGTGACTTGACCCAGCTGTTGTGTGGGCTCAGCTCTTGCTCTGGTCGCTTGAAGACTACCAATTGCATGCTTGATTGCTTAAAGATTAAAAAGGGTATGCTTGAAGGCCACCTGTTGAATGATTCCACAAACACATCGAGTGGGGCAAGGATCCAGTTTTGGATTTGTGCAACTTCTCATTGTGATCATCTGTGCAGGTGACTACTCTACCGATTGACACAGGTGAGAGGCAGTCTGCGCAGAACTTGTCTTTCAAGCATCGCTGTGTTATATGGCACCTCTGTACTGACTGCCGATGGAGGTATCAATGGCACTTGAATGTTTGTTGTCCGACGTCCTTGAAGAGCTGTGACGCAGTGATTCGGTGTTGTTGGAGTCCGTCCACTCTTTCTGACCACTGTTTTCTCCTCCTCAGCCAAGGTGCGCCTCCAGCTGCAAGGCAAGGCCATCGCAGGCGAGGGTGGCAAGCTGGCAGAGCTGAAATATCGAGGTGCCACCACCCCTCCTTTTCACCTCAAACACGCCCCAGCGTTTGCAGAGTTGATAACGTCTGGTTGTCGAATGGCCCTTGAGCTCCATTGATGTGCAGGCCCTGACTTTCTTGTCCCTCATGTGAATTGTTGGGGCAACCAGTGAGGCCGTTTGCAGATCCTTCGAATGTCTGAGCTCTTCAATATCATCATTACAGTACTGTCCTTAAACATGCCAAGTGGCAAACTTAGCTCTGAGGATGGGAGTTTTGTTGCACCAAACACTTCATATCCAATAGTTGATGACAGAGGACTGCTTCAAAATCTGGTCAATGCACCAGGAACGTACAATATCAAGAGGACCGCTTGCTTGAGAAAGAGTTTGGAAAACCAAGGCTCCTTGTCTGTTTGTGTCCTCCAGGTCTGTTGGGGACTGTTGGGACTGTTGCCAAGGAGGAGGGGGTGGGGGCATTGTGGAAGGGCGTCGTGCCGGGGCTGCACCGACAGGTTTTGTTTGGAGGTCTTCGGATAGGACTGTATGAGCCGGTGAAGAACCTGTACGTGGGGAAAGACTTCCAAGGAGATGTGCCGTTGATCAAGAAGATTGCAGCAGGGCTCACAACAGGTGGGCTTCTTCATTTTCGTAGGAGGAGGCACTAGCCAGTCACATTGCCTTGGTGAATCCACTCTGGCATGACCTTCTTTGGGAGCTGCCATGAGCTGCACCAGTGACTTGCCGTGAATGGCAAGTTTCGATCGACCATATGGCAAGTGTGGCAAAACAGGGAAGACATTCCTTTGGTCGACCCTGCAGGGCTCGCACTAGAGGCCATTGATGTACGGTGGACCTCTTTGTGTGCCTTTGAGAACACTCCGTGCTTTTTCGTCTCACAGTGTATGCGTTTCTTTGCGCAGGCGCTCTTGGGATCCTGGTGGCAAACCCAACAGGTGAGTGTCTCCACGTTGGCCTTCCTTTCCTGTCCGCCAGCCATGACGTGCACGCTGCCCACTCCTGTGTTACCTTGGCTGCAGCGCCATACTGCCCGCACGTGTTGCCCTCCCTCCGCCCGTCCCCGCCCTGGTCTCTGCTTGTTGCTGCATCCGCGTGCGTGCGTTGCCGTGTGTGCAGACCTGGTGAAGGTGCGGCTGCAGGCGGAGGGCAAGCTGCCCCCGGGCGTGGCCAAGCGCTACAGCGGGGCCATGAACGCATATGCCACCATCATCAAGCAGGTCCGCGTACGAAACAGCCCTCGGCCAGCGCAAAGCCCAGGCTGCTTGTCGTCTTCCTGGTCGTTTATGGTTGAGCTTGTCAAAGTCATGGCGAGCTTGTCGAATGTTTCCAAGTCATGGTTAAAGGGAACACGTTTGCGACTTGCTGAGTAGGAGTGTGTTCCAGCTCCAGCGGTTCTCCATGGGGCTGGCACTTGCATTTGCGTTTCGCTTGCCTCTCTGTGGCGCCTGCTGCTGGGCACACACCGGTGGCTGCCACCTGTTCCGCTTGTCCGGGGAAGTGGCTGCTGGGGCCTTCTGGCTCGAGCGACATACAAGGACGCCTCTGTCCGTGGGCTGCCTTTCGGTCCTCACCCTCTCCCCGCGCACATGTCTTTGCCAGGAGGGCGTAGCCAAGCTGTGGACGGGGGTGGGCCCCAACGTGGCGCGCAACGCCCTCATCAACGCCGCGGAGCTTGCCAGCTACGACCAGGTCAAGCAGGTGCGCGCGCCAAGCACTAGGTCTGGCCCGTACTGGCTGGCCCGTCACAGAACCCCGGTCCAATGACGGGTAACCAGCAAGACTCCAGCCCGAAAGTGTTCGCTGCGGGAAAAGTCGGCTCGAAGTCGCATGAAAGATAGGCCCACTTAGTTCGTTGAGGTGCAGCATCAGCGACACCCCACGGCGGAGTCAGTGGGACATGTACTTTCGGCTCGTACGGATCAGACAGGTGCCTCCCCCGCCAGATGTTTGCCTTTGTCTCTCATGTCAGTGTTCGTCTCCTCCGTCGGCCTGACCCGAGCCAGCCCCCCTCCTTTGCCCCCCGTGCAGACGCTGTTGAAGGCTGGCTTCCAGGACAACATTGGCACGCACATCATGTCCGGCCTGGGTGCGGGCTTCATTGCCGTCTGCGTGGGCTCCCCCGTTGATGTGGTAAGGGCTTACTGCCATTGGGCCTCTGCTCAAGCGCTTGCTGATCGCCGCCAGCCAGGCCCGTCATCTTTTTCCTCTGGTTCCACTCGAGTTGGTATCTCGGTGGCCTAACGGCCCCTTGACCGGCGGGAAGGCGCAGCAGTGCCGGGCCTGGTCACGGTGGCGCTCTCGTCGCTCGTTCCTGGCGCAGCTGGCGCTGGCTCTCGTATGGCAGGCAGCAGCTGAGCGGACTGGCGCTGTGCGTGTGCGCAGGTCAAGTCGCGGGTGATGGGCGACGCCAGCGGGCAGTACAAGGGCACCATCGACTGCTTCGTCAAGACCTTCAAAAGCGACGTGAGCCGCTGCGACCGCCCCCCTAGTCGGATCATGACTTGTGAAGAGGCCGGCCACAGTTGGTCCAAGCTTCTGAAGCCGCACTGCACCTCGCCAGCCTGGGTGCAGCCCCTCGTTTGGCCGCACGCATGGTATCAAGCACTCTGAGGCTCCGCCAGCGCAGGGTGTGGCGCCAGCCGGGCTGATGGCGGGTCCCCCGTTTGTGCAGGGCATCGGCGCGTTCTACAAGGGCTTTATTCCCAACTTTGGACGGCTGGGGTCGTGGAACGTGATCATGTTTCTGACGCTTGAACAGGTGAGGGGGGACGCTACCCGGCCGGGGTATGCCCACTTGAGTGTGCACGTGGTGACTAGCAGAGGAGACCAAAGGGGGGCTGCTGGCAGCATTACTAGGAGGGCAGATTTTGCCTCATGCACCTTCTTTTGGCCTGGTTGTCTGGTTGCTCGGGGGCTGCGGGTTTATAATTTTGAACACATCATTTTCTCGCTCCTGACTGTGAGATTGTACTTTGTTTGACAGGTCAAAAAGTTGATGGCTCAACAATGAGAGCGCTGCAGCCTGCAAGAGGCAACTTGAAGCTCGCTGAGGACCGTGAAGGTCGACATGTCCAATTGAGTTGAAAGCAATACTTATATTACATGCAGAGGCAGCAATATTTGACGGCCATAGTTCGAACCTGAACTTGTTATTGTAACGGAAACAAATGAGGTGTTACGTTACTCGTTGCCAGTAGTGAAGGCAGGCATCACGAAGGTGTAGTGAAGCGGAAGCCAACATCTGCACAAGCAAAATGAAAAGTATCATAAAGACTCTGACTGCACTCGATCTTGGTCGGGCACACATTCCATTTTGTCCTCATTTTCAACTTTGCACGCTGTCCCCTACTTTGTTCTTTGGGCTTACTTCCTTCAGTGAGACTATGCATCCGGGCCGCATGATCAGAATGCAAGAGGGGGTAGCTTGGAGCACATGTTTGGATCACGTCCCTACATTCTTCTCAAGGCGACGTACAACAAAAGATTGCATTTGCGCACATCCAGGCGGTTACACGTTGTACTTGACGGTCGACTCGACGATCCGAGCCATGCAGTTCAAGCTGCATGTATACGTATACAAGTTAACACGGAATACATATATACAGCTCCCTTGTCCGATCGCTGACCGTTGCTAATTGCCATGCATGCAAGCTAGCGGGATTGACCAAAATATCCAATTATACGTCTATACGAACTCCAATTATTGCGAGCGCGTGCGGGCGTGAGTATATCTTTGATAATATTGGGCAATTCTAGGATCTTAAGTAGAAGCTAGCATCTGTCGAAGCTTAGTACTAAGCAGGCCATGGACTTGCCGTCGGCTGGCACCGATGCTATTCTTTTGTGGCCTGCATGTGTGTGCGGCCGAGGTCTAATTTCTGGATCCGTGGCCGCCCAGATCTGGGCTTGGAGAAAATTTGATGTGGGACATTGGCGACCCGCAGTGTAATCTGTGCGCATCATTTGCCCGTACAATGCTCAACAGAAGCGTTCGGATTGTCCCCACTCTAAGCTCAACAATGCATGCACTTGGACAACGGGATCGGCAACCATAGCTCGACGGTTGAGTGAACATTCGATTCCATGCTTAAAGTATCCCAAACTGTCTGTTAACTGTAGCCATGGACCACCCAGTTCGCGACTTACCTCAAAACCCTACATATAAGCATCACAAGCGTTGTCGATCCTTCCGAGTGTCCCGTAGAGGGAGCTGACGTGCACCCTGATCAGTGGATACACTGGCCCTTTGACAGCGGATCTTACATGGGCAGACTAGTCCCTGTCCTCGACATTTATGCTGTCCGTATAGGTATACAGTACAATGGTTGTGGCCACCAGATTCATCACGGCACAACCGCTCAGCAAAGCTACAGCTAGTACCGCGTTCGGCACATCTCTTCCAGGCTGTTGCCTATCATTATGCAAATCCTCTTCGAAGCTGCAGGCGACACAGGTCGCGAAAGACCAGGCTCGTCGCTATGACTGATTGGTCTTCCCTTGGCTGTTATAAACGCGTGCACACCGACCGTTCAATCTGACGGTCGAGCTCAGTTGAGGCTGTCAGTGTTCCGCTTGCGCGCCGGCCTATTGCCGGCTGGCCGGCGGCCCCTCGTTGTCGGGGCTGTCGTTGAAGAGGCCGCCGAACGCCCCTCCTTCGCATTTGGGGCTGACCAGTAAGCTCGCCAGAGTGGGGCTTTCGAGGCCGTGGAAGCGGCCGTAGGCGGGGTCCGGCGGGAGGCTCAGGGAGCGCGGGAGGGACATGAAGGGGGCGGGCGAGGGCGAGTACGACGTGGCCGGCTTCTTGGCGGGGACGCTGGACGCGCCCGCGAAGTGGTCGGCCGGGCTGAGCTTGTTGGACTCGAACGTCCCCGTGGGGCTGGCCTCGAAGCGGGGGGACATGTCGAAGCGCGGGCTCAGGTCGAACTTGAAGCCCGAGCCATAGCGCGGGCTGGCGTCGAAGCGCGGGCTGAACGCGGAGCCGCTGCCGTCAAAGCGCGGGCTGGGGGCCGGGTTGGGGAACTGGGAGAAGCCGCCGATGGGCTTGGTGGCGAAGTGGTGCGCGAGGCTGGTGGGGCTGGTGAGGTACTGGAAGGGATTGGGCGGGCCCGCGCCGCCCAGCGGGCTCACCGTGTTGCTCTGCATGCCCTCCTCCATGCTCTCCAGCTTGGGCATGTGCGGGCTCGGCCACCCCGGCTCGAACCCCGCGAACCCCCCCACCCTGCGGGCCGGGCGCGGGCCCCGTGGGGCTGGGGTCGCCGTACCAGGGCACGAGGCCGCTGCCGCTGCCGCTGCTGGGCAGGCCGTACAGGCTGGCGTCCTGCATCATCTTGGAGAAGCTCGGCGGCCCGCCCGCAGGCGTGAGCTGCCGCGGCGCTCCCGGGTGCTGTGGCGCCAGCAGGGCCTGCGGGTGGCCCGCCTGCCCGGGGTGGCCCCGAGCGCCGCCCGCAAGCGGTGCGTGCCCGTTCTTGCGCTGCAGCTGGCTGGGCCCCATGAGCGGGCCCCCCGCTGCGCCACCATCGGTGGCTCCCGCAATGCTCAACCGCGACGGCCGCAGCTGCCGCATGTGCATCTGCTGGTGTTGTGGCAGGGGGCCGCCCCCTCCCCTCATCTGGCCCAGCCGTGACCCCCCCAGCCCCGGGCCTTGTTGCCACCCCCCTGGCGCCATCCCGTGGGGCGGCATGCCCGGGCTTTTCGTGCCCCCCATGTGGTACATCTGGTGGGGCATGCGCGGGGCGTGGCCGTGCGCCCCGGCCATGCGCATGCGCTGCGTGTCCCCCGAGCTGGCGCTGCTGGAGGCCTCCTCGTAGGGCCCCCCCGGCAGCGCGTCCAGGTAGCTGCTGCCGTACTGGCCCGTGTCGCCCTCGCTCTCGCCCTCCTCCTCCGTGCTTCCCAGCTGGCTGCCCCCCATGTGGCTGCTGTCGCGCAGCGTGCCCTCGCTGTCGTACCCCTCGTAGCCTGGCAGCATGGCCACGTCGTAGGCCAGCCCCTGCGCCTTGGCACGCGCAGCCGCCTCGCGAGCAGCCTGCAACCGAAGGAAGCAAGGTGATTACGAGGTGGCAAGCGAGGGGGTAAACACGGAGTGAGAAGGCGACAACGTGAAGTGGGGGCCTGGAGGTGCAATAAGTTGAGACGTTAGACACAGCTGAAAGTGAGAAGCTGCTGCTGCAGCTCATCTCTCAGCGACCTTCACGAGGGTTTGCAGAGGTGCCAGGAACACGACTACACGACTTCAAATTCTGTATTTGTTTGCTTTGATTAGAAGGCTAAAGCTTTTGACTGCAATCTCACGATTGTATCGGAGAAGCGAGTTTCTCAGCGGTTTCAATAGGGACTTGCAACAAGCTCGAAGCTTTGCATCTAGCATGGACCGGGAACAAACAGTGAAAGGAAAGGACTGGAGCTGTTTGTTTGTTAACAGACAAACAGCTAGAGATGCAAGAGACGAATGTGCCAGATAGCTGGATGCATGTAAAGCAGACTCAGATAGCATGCCAATCGATTCGTGACCCTTACTTCCCCAAGAAGCTAGAGGCAGATCATGCTCACCCGCCGAGCTAGACGTTTGCGGTGGGAGTTCCAGAAGTTTTTGATGGTGTTGTCTGATCTGCCTGGCAGGAACTGCGCGATGTGGCTCCACTTGTTGCCGTGCACCTTTTGCAGTTCAATCACTTTGCGCTGCTCCTCCTCCGTCAGTGGGCCGCTGCGCACGTGCGGGCTCAGGTGCTTCACCCACCGCAGCCGGCAACTCTTCCCGCTCCTGCACGCGCAGAACCAATACATCAGGCACCGCGTCCCCTGAAGCAGTTCAGGGGACTCAGTCAAACAGCTCATTGTGCCTGGGGCTCGTACTTCTGTAGCAACCTGGGTCGGTGAAGATGCTGCAAAATCCTCTCAGACTCCTCCTTACGTCTCCAGACACTTCATGGAATGCCCTGCTTGTCACAGGCAAAGCTATATTGCTGGTCAAGAACGAGTCTGGGGCTAGCAGCTTGTTGTCTGTAGATTCATTTCATCAAACCCTCCTCATGTTTCACATACTTGTACATTGACAAGTTACTGATAGGAGTTCTCAAGCATGCATTACCAGGATGAGCGTCTGCAGGAGACAGAGGGCCTCTACAAGAGCTTCACATGTTCCGCCTGCTTCGGCAGAGGGACAAGCGTGGCAGGCTGGATCACTCTGCTGGAAGGGAGCCACATGATGAGGCACCATGGATGGCGCTGTCAGAGGGAGCACTTTGGAGAGCTGGACCCTGGCAACCCTGGTGTTTATGCTCACCTCTGCAGCCCGCACTTCATGGCGATTGTGCTCCAGTTGCCCTCTTTGAACCTCTGCACACACAGCGCCAGCGTGTTGTCCTCTTCCTGCGTCCATAGCCCCTTCTTGAAGTCCTGGCCCTTGCGATCCTTTGAGCCGTCCTCACTGTCCTCGCTCATCTTGATTCACGCCAAGCAGGTGGGACGCATAAGCTCAGCAGCCACGCGCCTGTCCTTAAGGGAGGCTGTCTTGGCTTTGCTTCCTATCAGCTGCACTCTGCGGGGGCCCGCCTGCAGAGTGATACAGCATGCTCAGTCATGCAAGGCAGGCATTCATTGAAGAGTTTGCTCTCAAGACCTCACAACTCAATACAAACCTGGTGAACGGGGCTTGTTGGTCATTCTCAGTGGAGCGGACAGGAAACAAGGAGGAACCGAGGTGCTAGATCAAGTGGCTACAAAAGCATGGACCGTGAGCTCGTCTTTGGGGAAGGCGGCTCAAGTGAAAAACTTTGTTCAGATCCTGACAAACTTTGTGCACCACAATATTGACTTAATCGCCAGCTCTTGCCATCAGCGGTGCAAAGAAATCTGACGTACCTCCGTGCTTCAAGAGCGTGCTGCAGCACAAACAACGGAAAGCTGAGCCATTCGATTCCCGGGCCACCAATTCTCCACAGATAAGCTGCTCCTACCCCCAAGTTGCCTGGAAGGTCCGCCAGCTCCAATTCTTTGCTTGTAACATCAAAGACTAGCTACGAGAGGCTGAGACTAGCTGGCATCCTGTGCTCTCTGCGGAAGCTGGTTGAACCCCCAGCAACCAGACTACCACCAAGCGGTAATCTCAGGCCACAACGAGCTGGAGCGGCTCGCTGCCAACCCGGCCGCTGCAAGCTAGACTACAAACCCTGTGTGTGCTTTTTTCTGCTGCCGCTGCCGCGACAGGAACAAAGCTGTAGTCACCACTCTAAAAGCCCAGGCCTGACACATTAGTGTCTCACAATGTGCAGACCTCAGAGGGCTGTCATGACTCTGTGCTATAGTTTTCACGTGGTAACCACCTATTCTGTGGATCACCTTCACCTTGAAAGGTCGCTTGGCTAGCTGGCTGCCAAAATATCTGTTCCAGAAGGCTTCTCTGTAGCCCTTACAGGACAGCTCCCTGCATCCCTGCGTCCGCAACGGTAACGAGCAGATTCGTGTTCCTGGCCAAAATTGGCGACTACAGCGCTGACCAAATAACTGTATCCCGTCTCCCACCGCACCTCCTGCCGGCCACAGATGGCGGGTCAGTCCTCTGGCCAACTACTAGTACCACTGCCACTGCAAGTGCAGCACACCCACCTGGACTCTGGAGGAGGTGTCGCCTTCGAGACGTCTCGATGTTAACACGCAACGGTTTCCCTGACTTCCAAGAGAACATGGAATTGCCCGAGCAAAGCAAGTTGTCTGGCGCCATGAAAATCTTATCGACGGCTCTCGGGCAAGCCCTAGACTTTATCGACGTTTCGGAGTCTGGTTACTGCTCGCGCACACCATTTTGGCGACCACCCGACGTGTATGGTATAGCATGAGGAGACGGTGACCATATCTCTGATGCAATGATCGCGCGCAAAGGTCATGGAAACTGGATGCAGCTCTCCGCGCATGAGGTCCAGGATTCGGGGTTAGATCTCCTTCGGACACCAGGATGCCTGAATTTCCTCCATGGCTGACGTTCGAGAAAGTAGAATGAGTTGCTTCAGTTGCTAAGTGTTTCAAAGTTCTCGACGCACGATGCTGAGATGCAATGTTGTTGAAATCTGGCTGCAGCCGTAGACGTAACTTTCACAAGCTCATCGACACGATCTGCTAGAATCAGCTCATTAAACATATAGCTCGAGAAAGTCCGGCGCGTGTGCAGCTAGCATCGAATATTCGCCTATGATACCCCATGCGGAGCCTTCAAAGTGGATTGTTCTGCGTATGTCTACGAGGATGATGTCTGTTTACAAACGTCTGCTTTGGGGCCGCAAGAATCTGTAAACTCGATGCATGGATTGATACGAAGCACCGTAAAGTGACAAGAAGTCTGTTATACACTAAGCTGTTCGCATTTGCGTCATGCATATCATAACATCGTTCTAGCGCTGGTTTGCATACATATAGGGCATGCCAAAGAACCCCATGCAAATAATCCAGTGACAGAGATCGCGCCTAACATTGTGCTCAACTCGCAAGAAGCATGCGCAACCGGGTTGTAAAAAGCAATTCGCTGCTTAGCACAAAAGCTCAAACAGTCGAGTCTTCTTGAAGGTGCAAGACAGAATATATGTGGCGAGGAGCTCTGCCGGCTCCACAACCCCGGCAATGGAAGAAAAAACGTCTTTTTTAGATTTGATTCGCAAAGCATACTGCGATGCGTTGATTAACTTCCGTTCCGAACATGCTGATGTCAAGGGCAGAAACGCAGAAACACGACGCGATGGCATGTGCATCCTCGATGATTTTGACGATTCAATCAGAACCTTCACGCCCAGAAGCAAGTGACGCCGCTATGCATGCCCCCTTTCGAGACTACCCAGCCATTCCCGCATCATAGCTTGCCTTTTTCCTTGGATCTCGGAGGACCTGGTAAGCTTGCGAAATCTTCTTAAATTTCTCCTCTGCTTTAGCTTTTCCTTTTGGATCCTGCAAGAAGAAAACTTGAGAGGCAGTCAGGTACATGTGGCAGCAGCAAAAACCTCCGGTCTTAAGGCTGCTTACCTTCGTAACGGAGACAATGGACGGGATTGCAGTCGATGGCTCGCTTCAAAGTGCATCCGGGAATGGCAGAAGTTCTTTAGAAAGAGAGATGCAGAGACACTGGTCCTCGTCGATGCACCAAAAGTCCGCAAAACTACGCAGACACCTCGAAAAAAGACCGACTCTTGACTCGTCCGGCGCCGACAGAGAGCCGCACCTGGCCGTGCCGGTCTGGATGCCACTCGAGGGCGAGACGCCGGAAGGCGGCCTTGATCTCTTCTTCGGACGAGCGCGGGCCCTTGGCCAGGCCCAGCTCCTTGTAGTACCCGAGCGGGTCACCAGGCGGCGACCCGGGCTGGCGCGCCTGGCCAACCACGACCAAACAGCGCGTCATTGCAAGGATCCGAAAATCCCAATTCTGTGACTTCTTTTGGGACGGGCCTTGCGCACACGGGATACCCGCCAGGGGTGCTGGACTGGAATGTAACAGAGCTTCCCAAGCAAGTCGTTCAGCGAGACTGCCACCGCAGTGCAGAAAAGCGGGTCGAGTCCCCTTGGGCCGCCTTGCTGGGCAGCTGCCCGCGTTCTCCTACTGATGGGCCCGGATCGTCTGGGTGACCTGTCCTCTTGTTTCGCCCAATCGACTCGACTTTCCGCAGTGAACAACCAACAACTATGATTGCCACTCGAACATTGCTGCTTCTCAAAACGTGTCCCAGTGGGTTCGGTCGGTTGCGGCTCACCTGGTACTGCGCCCCGCCCCGCCCCCTGCGCGCCTGCTCCTCGTACGCCTGCTGCTGCTGCCGCTGCCGCTCGCCCTGGCGCCGCGCATCGAAGCCGCTGCGGTCGTACTGCTGCTCCCACTGCGGGGGCACCCCGAAGGGGCCGAAACCGGGGCCGCCTTGTCGCCGGAACTGCTCCTCGAACTCGCGCAGGATGCGCTCAAACTGCGCGTTCATAGCCCCACCCCTGCACACATGTCCTGCCGCGTCAATTGATTGGGGCCAATGGGCTCGGGACTACTCCCACACAACCGCGGGCCAAAGTAGCGGACTGAAATGAGCACGATTTGCCGAGAGTCCAATTTAAAGACAGCAAGGCTACTGGCGCCTAAAGGAGCAGCTATACCTCCAACCGTCTCTGGTGATTGCCAATCTGAGTACGCACTTCTTCAAATAGATCCTTTGAAGCAGCAGCAGCGATGCCCGCGCCGTGCTGGCGATGCAGTGGCCCTCACCCGAAGTGTTGCCACTGCTGGTAGCGCGCCTGGCGCTGCCAGTGCTCGCGGCGCTCGCGCTCGTCATCGTCGTCGCCGAGGCCCGCCTCCTCCGCTCCGTGCCCGCGAGCAGCGCGCGCAGTGTCCTCAACCACGTCCCTGCCACACCCAACAGACACCGTCAGCAGACGAAGCTGGGCTACTGGCAAGGCCCGCAACAACCCGGGGCGAAAATGCGGCGCAGCGAGCAGTGTTCTATGCAACCGTTGAGGTCGGTCAAGGAGGGCACCAAGACGGGGCAACATTATTCGTTAGGCACACGCCATGTCATGTGCTCTGTCGGATTTGTCCAAAGATTCTGGGGAAACGAATGGTGCAGCGCAAAGCGTCTCCCCTTTCTTGGAACCATCTTAAGCGATCAGCGGGTCTCGCGTCCATTACAGGAGATAATGGCCGGTGTAAGGTCGGCGATTGAGATCCTCCGACCTGAATATGAATCCTATCTGCAGGTCAAGCATCGCTCTACAGGCGCAGTCGAGCGTGTGCGGTATGCGCGCACCTGCCGTGCTGCAGCTCCTTGATGTAGGCGGACACGCGGGGCAGCCAGCGCTCCGCCGCATAGCCCGCCAGGGCCGCCAGCCCCGCAACAAAGGCTGCGCCCCACACACCGCCAAACAGCGTGCCCCACCCCATATAGTGACTGGCCACGGTGGCAGCTGTCAGCCCTGTGGCCACCAGACCGCCCACCTGACACGAGCACAAGGGCAGCAACCGATCCGTCGAAGACATAGATACGAAAGTCGTTAGAAACAGCCGTCGGTTTCATAAGGCGAGCAAGCCCGGCAGGCCGATACGAACAGGGGCAGTCTTCCGACTTCGAACAAGAGATATCATGAGGGCCCTTGAGAAACAGGTAAGCATGATCGAGGCCCAGGAGTAAGCTGCGGTAGCGAAAGTAAGGAAGGGACTGGGGGACACGAGGTGGCACAGGGTCTTCGAGATACTGTTGTGTCAGGCCAGAGAACCAGCGAGCGGCAAAAGACAGCCGCTTGGACCCAACCAGTGGAACATTCCGCCAGATTTTTTGATGCACGTTGTTGCAGCTTGCTAACCTTGAGCGCAGAGAGGTGCCGTTCTGCGCCGACCTCCCCAGTCGCGCCGTTGACGACCGCGCGGAAGAACTGGCCAGCATGCTGGTACTCCAGGATGTAGGCCGGCACGTAGATGGCGCGCGCACGCACCTCGTCGAACTGCATCTGCAGCTGCACGTTCTGCGCCCTGCAAAGCTCCAGCAAGCCCCTCGATCAGCCGCAAGGCAGTGCAAGCAACAGTCCCGGACTCGGAGAAGGGTCGCTTCTCCGGTCGTGCCAACATGGCGCAAAACGTGCTCATCGACGAAATTGAACAGCTACAGCCTGGTCGAAGTGCAGCCTGAATTCAGGTCTTCTCGGGCAGTGGTTGCCGGCTGGACAATCTCCTTTCTTTCAATACAAGTCTTGCTCGGAGAACCACCTCACTCGTCAACATGAACATATAGGCAACGAGACGAACGTATTTCCCGTCTTCTGGTACACTGCGTTAGGCACTTCGGCCCACCCTCGACAGAATCGATCACGCATCAGTTGATCCTGTGACCGTCATGGGCCAAAGCGCTGCGCGAGGGTCGCCCGACTGTCCTCACTGGTCCGCATGGTACGTCGTTTTGAGCAGCTCCTCCGCACGGCGCACCTCCTGCTTCTGGATATTCTCGCGCACGCGCCGCCACGCAATTTCGCGCTTCATGGTGAACTCGTCCAATTCGCGCCCCTCTGCCAGCATGGCCCCCGTCAGGGGCTGGTTCTCCGCCACCAGGGACGGGCCTTTCAGGGGCGCCATGTACGCCTTTCGGTACCTGCGCAGAACGCCGCCTGGGGGACTTGACGCACGTACCGGACAGGACAATCCAGGTGACACGGAATTCATTCCTTAAGAGACTCCTGCTTGAAGCAGGATACACCAGGACTGCGTATCTTGTGATGACCAATTCAGAATCTTTCCAGGGCAAACAGTTCACAGCTCAGGTTGTTGACTTTGCCCTCTAGTGATGATGAGAGCCTTGACTGATGTCCTCCTCGGAGGCTAATAAACATGCTCTCTGATGGCGCGAAATAGGGACGTCTGGGGTGATCCCAGTGTGTGTACCTGTAGGATGCGTAGACCTGCATGTCGGGGTTGTCCCCGGGGTGGTCGTTGGTGAGGCTGTGCGTGTAGGGCGCCTGCCGCCACACGGTGCCGCTGCTAGTCTCATGGCGCTTTGTGGAGCTGTTGTATGTGCTGGTGCTGTAGTCAAACCCAATTTCGCCAGTGAAGAAGGTCGTGACTGCAGGAGAGGCTCGGCAGAATGGAGAGCGGCAAGAGTTGCCTCATGGCAATAAGTCAACCCATTGCCCTACGTATGGATATGTGTATTTTGGCTTGTACTTCTTTCCTGCTTTTAGAGTCAACCATAAACTTGCCTTCAGACTGCCCTGCTGACTTTTTTAGGTTGTCAAGAGCCATTGTGCGCGCCCAAACGCAGCGTCAATTGAGCTTGAGAGTGAGCTTACCTTTGGCATCAAACACCCAGAATGGCTGGTATGCTGCCCTGATACTCGTGAAGGCGGCTCTGCCGGCGTGGTCCTCCAGCCCACTGATGGGACCCAGCCAGTGGCCCGCTGACCAGTCCTGCACCCCACCGCACAGTCAAGCCACACCACCACGGCATCGTGAACTTTGGCCCTGTACTCACATGTACAATAGAATTTGTAATCATCCCAAGCCATGAGATGGTGGTGATCACCATGAATTATCAAAACCAAGTGCTGCCTTCCAAGATCCAACAATCAACAGTGTGAGCGAGTGGCAGCTGGAGCGAGCCAGAGTATAGCTGTGTGGCATACCTGGAAGCGGTGGATGGCATCGTCAGCAGTAATCTTGTACTGTAGAGCAGTGGCCCTCCTGGCACTAGCTTCCCCAATGTTCTCAAAGCTGGCGGCATTACGCCCCGAGGTGGAGTGCAGGCCGCGTGGCGACCCACCGCCGAGGCACCAGGCAGGATCCCAATTGTGGACTAGGCGCGTCAGAATCCCTGGTTCTAAGGCAGAAAAAGAAAGAGCACAGCCGCCAGACCTATGTGGAAACACACTGGAGTGATAGGAACCAGAGTGATAAGACTTGAAGGAGGCTAGTTCCAACACACTTGCTCTCCTACCAAATCCTGCTGATGCAGATTCTGCACACATCGGTGCACATAAATGAGCATCGTGGCGTGGGCCAGTAAGATCATACATGCAGGGTTTACGGGTCAGAGCCTCCGGTGTCAGCACTGTTTTTGTCTGCCACCAGTCCTGTGCTCTAGCTCTACCTGCAGCACGATATGTGGCAACCCTGTCAGAAGGACATTCCTGGACTGGACAATGCTGACTAGACACAGTACTTTGCTGCAGTGCTCTTGAACACCTCATCAGGAGGTGCTGCACACGCGGCTGGCATCTCCGCACAACTACCGCCAGCGCGCTCACCAGCGCAGGGTCTTTAGGAATGAAAGACTCAAGAACCATAGACAGCGTCATCGTTTTCCAAACCCTTCATCTACTAGCATTATAGACTGTGCAGCTAACCGACTACCTACAATGAACTTTTGAGCTTGAACACCATTCCATGAATCCTCGTACATGCTGCTGCATGCTGCTCCCCATTTGGTCTAGAGTCTAGAGATGTGGGCTTTGCACATACCGTAGGACGCTCATGCTGGGTTCAAGTGGTGTCAGGTGGCTCTCCATCAAGCGCCGCCCATTTCCGGACAGAATACTGACACCAGTGAACTCATGAGTCAATCAGATTGTAGCAGAATCCACATGCCATGCATGCAAGTCGTGCCCTTTCCTGTTTCCAGGTTCCCATGCCGGACTGAGCTTCGTTCAAAGTGACCAGCTTTGCTCGTCTGCTTGTGTTCATTAAGCCGGGGCATGCAGATGATCCGGCCCAAACGTAGTGCACTGGATCTGAGGTTTGCCGCCAGCGCTCTGCAAAGGTCTTAGCTGCATGCCTAGGATCGGTAGGATGTCTAGGCTTATGTTATACCTGGCCGGATGATGCGTAGAGGAAAGAATTTGAATTTGTTTCACTGGCAGCGGCATGGCCCGAAGCTAGAGATCAGAGGATGGTTACAAGATATATCTAGGATGGAACCTGAAATCATCTTCTAGATGCATTTTCTTGCATATAATGTACGATTTTGGCGGCTCGATCACGTATCAATCTCCGCTAACCATGTTCCAGTTGCCTGGTCAACATACTATTATGAGCCTGCCAGGGGATTTGTGCCCCTAAGTCAAAGCCACGCACCAGTCCACAATTTTGTCAATGAAACTATACAACATAGGTCAAGCCGTGGAGTCAAAAATCGCGCATGTTGAAACCTGTCCTGGTAACTAACTTTGCATTGGTTTACTTAGGATAGCTTTCGTCAAACTAGTAAGTCGCGACTTCGATCTTAGCGAATGTTTGTAACGCCATCTCCTGCAACAGTCCGCAATCGAAGTACAAATTCAAGTACCTTTTGAAGCCAATTAGTATCTTTCCAGTTCTTCAATAAGGTTCGATCAAAAAACAAATCATGGTTAGAAACGTTGTCTTTGTTGAGCCCAATACTCAGTTCCATTGAAGGAAACAACAACACGAGATTTATTTTGCACGTGTCTATGGCTACTTTAACGAGGAACCCCAAATTACGACCTGACTAAGTGCAAGCCTTACATGGCTCGTTCGCTGACTCTTGCTGATGAACCCTTGTTGACGATTATAACCCAACTCGTAAATGACATGGAACGCCTGTTGAAACGACCCTTCAGCGCCGCACCCCTCTGTCATTGTGCGCTCTGCGGCTCCACCTCCGCCAGGCCGGCAATCTTCTCCGCTTCCTCCCACAGTTCCTTGGCCAGCGCTCTGTCCCGGGAAGTGGGGGCGGGCCGCACCTCGCGGACCTGCACCCACAGCCGGCCAAGCTCAAGTCCAAATGACACGCTTTCCGGTCATGTAACCCGCAGTGACTGCGTATATGGCATTGAAGATGTAACTCTCCGATTCATGCACATTGCGACTGAATGCCTCGTACTTTCGACCCGCGACTTTTCTCCCTACAATAAACCGAGCGGTGGCAAACAACAACCTTCGGACTTCAAGTTCAGCCACTCTCCATGCTGCACAAACCCTCTCTCACCCGGTCTGGACTGCTGTTCTCTACTTCAGGATGTGCGGCTCTGCAACGCGAGCGTTGTCGTGCACATCCCCGTCGCCTGCGCTACAGCACGCCGAGCTCGTGGCTCACCTCGCCGTTGAAGCGACCTCGCGATATCCACCGCACGGGCCAGTCAAGACTGGACAACACCAGGGCAATGGGCGCCGTCAGAACCGCGCGCTCCAGCGGCGCCAGGCCGGGGAAGCTGCTGCTCAGGGGGTGGGCCGTCAACTGCGGAGAACGAGGGCCGGGGCAGAGTCAGCCCCGACGGATTGCTCAGGGCCGGCCAGCCCCTGTTGCCAACCGGGCCTCCTGAAGGTCACCCATGCACGACGCTGCCAGTCACTGAACCAGCTCCTATGTTCCAAGGGGGGGCGGGTGTGGAGAATGGCGTACAAAGTTCCTAACCTCAAAGAACTTCCCAATCTCGGGACAGACGACACCTGTGGGACTCCGCCCGGCGCGAATGCAGAATCTGACCCCTTAGAATCGCGTCGAACGGATCCAATCGTATGATGACTTTCACTGGGAGCTCGCGTAAAAGACGCCGACATTGTAACAGGGGTTCCAACCTAGGGCAGAATTGAGGCCCCTACGGGTGTTTCCTGAGATCGGGAATGTGTCGAGATCCGAAACCTCAGATCGAGTTTCGTACGCTATTCTCCGAACCCGCCCTCCAAGGGTACCCATTTCCCCGGTGATGTGCCGTTCAAAAGAGACGACGAATCACTGCTAGCCTTCGGGGCCACCTGCGGAAGGAGCGTGGTGACATCTGTGCCCATGCATCGAGGAAGTGGGTATCCGCCCCCGAGAGCCGCCGTCCCTCACCAGCTTGGAAGCGAAGAAGCCTTTGGCAAAGAAGCGCCCCTCGGCGTCCGGGCCCCCCAGGCTCGGCTTCCAGGGCCGAACTTTCCGATTGGGCGCCACGGCGGCATGGTTCACCGCGATCGCCCCGTCCTCCGGAGGCCCGTAGATCGACTGCAACGCGCATGTCTCTGACTCGGTTCAAAAAGACCTACGGCGTTCTTGCGATCCAACATAAGGAGAGCAGAGCCGGGTTACTCTGCAGGTCGATGCCTAAGACCGATTGCTGCAACCAATCCGGGACAAGTCTCAGGTGCACGAACTGCACACTCTCTGAGCCAGCGGAAACAAACTCGCGCTTTGTCAAGGTTGAGCAACAGTTGAAGCAGGGGAGTGGGCCGAGCTAGCTGTGGGCAACGAGCAGCGGTGGTGGGCTTGCCTTGAGGAGCCAGGAGCCAGGGGGGCGATCCCAGACGGAGCCGCGCCAGACCCGGGTGTACACGGAGCCTGAGAGAGCAGGCGGCCGGCTTAAATCATAGGGGCGGACTCATTATGACGAAAGGCCTGCGCAGAGCACGAGAACTCTTCGCAACCAGCCCGCAGACCACGTCAACGACGTGCCTCGAACCAGCATGCTACAGTGCTGCCCCTAGCCGAGTGGGCTGGTCGAAGACTGTGCACTTGAGCCACAGCGACATGGAGGGCGGTGCTCACCTGGGTCGACCGCGGAGCTTTCGATGGCCTTGCCTGCAACCAACGAGGCCCATACAACGGGTCAATCTCGCGGACATAAGCACATTGATGCCAGGAGCACGGGACCACTTGTGCTGGTGCGAGGAAGACGGGACCGGGCATGCATAGCAACATCTGGAACGAAGGCTCGGCCTGTCAATCGGAGAATTGAGGACACCAGGTGTAAGCACGCGCGCTGAGTAGCATGCGAATAACACCCTCAGCACCCCAGCCCATCAATGAGAGCAGGCAGAGGAACAATTTCGACAGCTCGGCAGACGCCATGTGGCCCCTATCTTTGGCGGGGTGCTCACCGCCCCAGCGTCGCTGCAGCTCGTGCGTGAAGAGCACGTTGGCCAGCTTCGTGTTGGTGTAGTTCCCGTGCTTGAAGTCGCGCAGAAACTTGTCCTGCACCATATGGACGCTATTCGAATTAAGCACAACGCTGACATCCCGTCTGGAGCGCCCCTCCCACGAGCGGTGACCGAGCCCGTCGATACTGTTCACGCAGGATAATTGTTAGCCTTGGTCTGGCTCCCACTCAAGAGTATGAAGAAAAGTCAGGCGGGCGACTCAAGCCTCTCAAAATGCTCTGCGACGATGATGACGCTCCTCTTCTGCCAGAAAGCTTCACAGTGCGCTGGCAAGCCGTCTTGCTACCGACTTCAAGATCTGGTCGCACTCCAATCAGGATTTAAGCAAATGTTGTTCGGCAACCGACAGACGCTTTCGAACGTGAAAGTGGTCATCCAATGCCTCAAGACTTCTCGCTCACCGCGCTTGTGATGCTCGCCATTCGATGCATCACTGAGCTCACGTTCACAACCTGCATGGTGGGAATGTTTGTGCGGTTCGGGTTAGCGGCAGGGACGAGCTGGCAAAACATTGACGAAGGAGGGTGATCGACCTAGCAACTTAGCAATTTCCAATCCTTGGAACACAGCCATCGATTTCGAGGGCTGATTGGACGGCCCTGGCGAACTCTGTCCACTGAAAGGCTTCTCGAATGTCAAGAGGTCCCATTACATCTCACGACTACTTCTGCTGATGTGTCTTCAACAAATCTTGGAGGTGTGCCAGGTTCGCGCCACTTGGAGCCTCAACGACCTCCTACAATCGAATGTGACCAGATCTTGCCTGACATACTGCCCTGTGCGACATGAACAAGCAAATAGGCCCCTCCAATCAGGCGCACCGCATACTCGCAGATGGTCACTCACTTTCGAGGGGGCCCCCTGTGTAAGCTCGTCCTCCAGGAGGCGGGTCAGCATGTAGGGCCCTAGAAAGTTGACCTGGGCGGAGCCCCCCACACCTTGCTCCGTGTACCACTCACGGCTCAGGACCGCTCCAGCGTTGTTGACCTGCGGGGGACAGACTAGGTAGTGTCGGAGTGCGCGGCATGGGCTCGACCTGATGAAAGCTAGATCCACAGCTGGCCATGACTTTGAAAAAGGCACATTGCTGCAGCTTGAGAACAGATCTGGTTTCCACCAACCGGCAGATAGGGCAGAAAGCAAATCAACCGTTTTGCGAGGCACCTCACTAGGATGTGCAAGGGCCGCTTCTTCTCCTTGAATTTGGTTGCAAAATCGCGTATCGAGGCCAGCGTTCGCAGGTCCAGCAGCATCGCTTCCACGTCCGCACCGGGCACTGCCTGCACAAGGGTACCAGGCAACACGTTAGCAACCACTGGCAGCTAAGGAGGTTTGCCCTTCAAGTTGTAGCCACCATTTCTGCAAGACATTTCTCATCAAGGTGCTAGCCATTAACTGATACTGGTCTTGAGCAGAGATGACAAAATTGTCAACCGAATATGGAACACTGGGGGCACAGGCGATGGCGCTGACCTCCCGGATGTCTGCGGCGGCCTCGAGGCCCCTGTCTGCGCTGCGGCACCCCAAGATGACAGATGCGCCCTCACCCGCCAGGAATTTGGCAGTCTCTCTGAACATGACATCAACAGGGATTTGGACATGACGACACCAGGAAGATGCATGAAAGGAAAGCAAGAATAACCAAGGACATACAAGCAGAGGGGATTAGGCAGCAAGGGCTGTGTACACGCAGGCTGGAACAAATGTAGAGGGTGATTGGTGATGCAGAGACCAGATCAACAAAAGCCTTGAACACTCAGTTAATTGCAAGAAATAATCACAAGAAACCCCCTGCACCATATAAACTTACTTGCCCAGCCCCGAGTTTGCACCTGCACAGATGCGTCACACGGGCAGTTGCTTAGCGGGCATGTATAGTGTAAGCTGTGTCTTGATGCATGGGTGGTGGAAGGTTCATTGGGCAGCTGCACAATTGTGATGGGGTTGCCCCTGTAGCGCATCATTGCTGATCAGCATTACTGGTGTTTTCTTAATGCCCCATGCTCCAGTGGGAAAAATCAGAGGGCCAATGTTGCCGCAACTTCCTCATCCCGCTGATTATGCATTCTTTGTCAGGGACCTTCGTGAGCAGCAGGCAATGCTGGCAGACGCTGTTTAATAATGTCTGAGACGTCAATTACAATGCCACGCGCATGGCGGGCAGCCCTTGCACCCGAAGCGCACCTGTCACAATTGCCACCTTCCCATCCAATCGTTTCTTCAGGTTCACCAGCTGCTCCTTATCCTCAGACGAACCCATCGTGCTTCTGCCAACGACCTCGAAACGACCTCGAGATGGCCCCTGACACCAGCTGGGACGCAGCAATACCTGACGGTGATGGCTGGAACTTGAACTTGAAGAGCTGTGCGTCCTGCGCTTCTGAACGACCTCAGGCAAGGCTCGCCCAGACTCGGACTCGGAGTCTTCTTCGAAACTTCCAAGCATTGCATGCCTCACTCATTCTGCTCCCTCGGAATTGTTGTCAAAAAGCTGGGACAACCGGTATGGCGGCGGTCGGAGCAACTGTGGTTCCGATCCCAGTGAAGCTTCGTATATACTTGTGCCAGAGTGTTGCGAACACCGGCATTCCGCCGGGAAACAACGGCAGTGGTTCTGGCGCCAAGGAAGCGGGAAACCTTCAAATTTCTTCGTCATCAGGCCCAGCCGCCAGCGCTGTGGCAGCCCATGCCATTGCAACCCAGACTCACGGTCCGTATCGAGAAAAACCCTCGTAAAGCCATTTTGGTTTTACGAGCAAATCGTTCGATGTCCGTAGATCCGTATTGGTCAAATTTATCGTATTCGCTAGGGCCATATTGGAGGATTTGCTCGATACGCAGAATGCCCTATCGAGCAATTTGCTCGATTTTTGGACCGAGGCGCCTAGATCTCCGGTACTTTCAGGGGTCGGTCCGGACGATCTCCGCCGTCGATCCAGGTGACCGCCGCGACCCACAACATCGGTCCACACGACCGCCAGGATCGCGGTACATAAAGGACGGTACCCCTATGGATGGTTGGTCGGGGCGGCGGGCGGCTGCAACTCCCCGGGGACACCGGACCCTTCCCCTCTAGACTGGTAGTTTAGGGACCGTGGCACCCGAGAATCAACCGGGCCCTCCCTGTGACATTAGGGTCTCGCGGGCAACCGGCGAACAACCGAGCAACTACCTGGGGCAGCCGGGCATTCCCGCCTTAGGGTTACACCACTGCGAGTGACAACCGGGCAAGTACTTTTTGTTTTAGTGTGTGCCCGGGGCTTTTCAAAAATCGAGACTTTTTCCCAATAGGCGCTACCAGAAAACGAGCAATTTGATCGATACACGGCCGGCCGTATCGAGCAATTTGTTCAATATGCTTCCGATGGCTTTACGAGAGGTCTGGGTTGCCATTGCCATTGGCCCATTGCCGAATGGGCAGGTTGAGGTTGAACTTGAAGCGGCGCCCAGGCTGCGGCACCATCATTTGACGTCGAGGTTTGGAAGTGACGATCGGTGCTCCGCTTGTGCTTGTCGTTCTGGCCCGCTCCTCTTTCGGGCACATTCGGAGCAAGTGACCTTGGCAGGGTGGCAGCTTCAAGGCTGGGACATGGATCGCTGTGCACGCAGCAGCCACAGATGATATTCTGGGCCTATTCTGGGGCAGTTGTCTGCCTTTATGCAATACAGCAGGGTGTTCCCGAAGCGTGAAGATTCAAGGAAGACCGCAAGGCGCACATGTGAACTTCAACAAATTTTATCACTGTTCACAATCTGACAGGTAAATACATATCTCCTTGCATTAGAAATTCTGTTGGCCATAGCGGCTGCAGACACCACCACGACCCAGTACATGTGGTACCAAGGTCATTCTGCAAGCCGATTGTAGAATTATTGCTGGCAAGCGGTCAAGGACGTTTGCAGATGACTGCCAGTTGAGTCTGTCCAAGCACGAGCTGTAGAGAGGTTCATAGGGCCATGGTCCACGGTGCACTCCTCTTTGTATCTAAGAAAAAAGCAAAGCCCCATGTTCAGGGACTTTTGCACCACAACTACCTCAACAGGAAAGTTTTCTGATATTCTATGCTTTCAAGACTGTGGATTGTCTGGAACCGCATGGACTCCAAACCGCGTGAAGGTTTTGGCCGCCTGCCTCACCTGATCGTGACATGGACCTGCCGTCAAGCAGACGGAAGCAAGAGAATGCGATGAATCAACTAGGGCTTTACAAGCGTCACACAATTGGGCCTTTTGCCAATCTACCTGCTCCTGACTATACCTGTTACGGCTGGTGTGATTCAAGATGGCATTCTGGACAAAAAGTGAGTAGACATCCTTCTGTCACCCATGCTTTCTTGCTGCAGGCCTGGCAGTGGGACAGGGTAGGCCAGGATGCAGGCAGCAGCTGCGCGCACGTACACGTACAAGGTGAAGTGCCAGGAGAACAGCACCCTGCACGACCTGCTCCAGGAGAAAAGGCAGGAGTACGAGGAGGAGGGCAAGGAGAACCTGGTCAGGGCTTTTGCAAATGCAGCAAAGTCCATCCGCAACCATCCCGTGCCAATCACAACCAAGGGGCAATTTGCAGAGGTTAAGTGAGTGTCATTCTTGTTTGCGTCGAGAAACGTTGAGAGGGCCGTGCATTAGCAGCTCAACAAACATGCAACAGAACAGCCGCGCTTCACTGTTCCTGGAGTTTGCTCTTCTTCTGAGAAGAGTGCCAGAATTGTACGTCAGTCAGGGGATGACAGTTGGGGTTACCCTCTATTTAACCGGACATGGAGAAGCAAAAGTAGGCAAGGACTTGCACTGCAAGTTTGGAACAAGTTTGTAGACTCCCCACGTTTGTGAGGTCACCCTTTTTAGTTGCCAACATCTTTTCGCCCAAAAACGGGCTAAAACCTCATCACTCACATGTTTTGTTATGTGTAAAATTGAGCCTACTTGCTCTGGTTGCTTGAGTTTTCGCCCGGCCTCAAGTCGCTCTTTGCGCACTGTCAGTGTGCCTAAAACCACTCGAAAGCTTGACAACCCTTGGCTGCCTACCATCCGCAGGCATGTTGGACCCTTCGTCCTGAAGAAGGTTGGAGGCCACTTTGCACAAGGAGCAGAGGCCGGCAATGGCCAAGGGCATGGCCCAGAAGAAGGACCTCCTGGTCAGCCAATGCTCCTTCTCTGAACCTAGACTGATGCGTGCTTGCGCTCCAAGATCCCAAGAGGAGCTCACCACTTAGAAATTGAGCTAGCAGGTTTTGCATCTCTGGAGAAACAGTGCACTTTTAATGTGCACTTTCGAGAACTTGTCTGAAAAGGCCTGCCATGTTTTCACTCATACTTTGTCTGCTGCAAAGTGGGCATAGGATCATCCTCAGCCTTATGTCTAGAACCGTCCCCTCCCCTTCTGTGCAGCAAAAAAGCGAAAAACAGCACCATATGTGCCGAAACTCAACTCGGCCCCTTACGCCCTTCTCATCACAATGTACAGGTGCGCAGCTATATACTCTTCTCAAGTGTCCAAAAGATTGGTTTATCTTTGCTTATCGAATTTGCGACAGGATGAACAGGCTGGTCCAGTGATGTGCGCTTTTGCACACCTCCAGACTTCCATTTGGTCAGCCAACGCAGTGAAGATGCTAAGCTAAACTCCAGAGTTCCTCGTTCTGCAGAGCCTTAGCAGAGGGAAAGGACGAGTACCGACGAGACGAACTTATACAGGATGCAGACAACAGCGGCCTGTCCGAGAAGACGATTGCGTATGTGCCCCTAACTTTCTCCATCTTAAGGTGTCGAGCTGCGTGGATAGCTTGCATCCGTTAGTCAAGATCCTGGCCACTGTGGTCATCGAATCCTCATCAATGATTATCGCAAGTGCCCTGGACGAAGTAGGATTCTCAACCGTTCCGACTTCTAGGATTCGCAGGAAGTAGAACTCTCCGAATGTTGATGGGCAAACGGAGGCTCGAGCAGGCGAGAAAAGTGGCAGCAGCAGTGGCTTATACGCTCTGCAAAGTCCGGTTGTCCGAGATGCTGGCAGCAAAGATGAGCGATTCGCCTAGATCCCCTGTACAGAATGTCGTTTGGTTCGCATACAGGAATGAAGTCTAAGTCAGCCCGCTAGACATTCCACCCTTCCCCTCTCAGCCTGGACCCGCTCAATGGTCAAGCGGGGCGGAGGACGACCCACACCAACCAGGACTACTACTCTGGGTGGACGTCCATGAGCAAGCAACTGATCGCTAAAGGACTCGTCCTGAAGCAAGGGAACCCCCCCAAGTGAGTGCACAAATGTGCCCAGCGAGCCAGAGACCAGAAGGAATTCATGAGAGCTGCAAAAGCAGTTATTGAGTAGCATGTCCGAGGTGGACTGAAGGTCGAGGGCGTGCCCTCTTCCCTTCCCAGCTTTGCAACGGTGCTGCTTTGCATACAGATTCAGATGTTAACCTCGTCCTTTCAAGTCCGAGACTATTACTCTTTTTGCCCGATCATGCCCACTGAACAGTCACACCTGCAGAATCCTTTTCTGCCGGCGACGGCTATGCCATGCAAGTTACTGGCCCATGCCTGCAGGTACATTCTCACGGAGTACGGCGAAGAGACGGCCCGGGAGTGCCTCCAGCGATCCAACCTGGCTGACCCGCTCCCCGCCGGTCCTGCTGGAGCCGCTCCCCGTCCCACTCCTGCCCCTGGCCCCCGCCCTCCTGCCGGCCCGCCTCCTCCCGCTGCCCCTAAGAACGCCCGTGCCGCGGCTGCTGCAGCTGCTGAGGCGCGCATGGCCAGGAACGCCGACGCTGGTGGCGCAGGGCCGTCGACTGCCGCGGCCGGCGGTTCTCGGCCGGACCGACGACGAGATGCAGTGGACACTGCGGGGAACCGGCAGCAAAAGGGTGGAGCGGCGGGAGCAGGAGGGGCTGGGGCGGCGGGGTTCCGGGGCCTGGTGGCGGAAAGGCCGGACCTGCAGAGAATGGGGGCGGAGCGGGAGCCGAACGAAGCTGACGGGGGGCACGAGGAGGAAGGAGGCACCGAGTCAGACTTCGAGGAGCTGGACGGCTGGCCCGCAGCAAGTCCCACAGACGCTGTGCCAGTGATTGGAGATGACGTTGTGCAAAAGGTGAGGCCTTCTTGCAAGGAGAGTGCTGCTTCCTGACTTGAGCTCATGCCCGTCCGGTACGCTCGTCAATTGCCTATCCGCTCCTCACAGGACCTCACCAATGTTGAGCAGAAGCTCGTTCGTTCGGGACGTCACCAAAGCTATGTAAGACTGAGCCGCCAAAAGCGTCCATGTCTCAGATCGTTTGCCGTCTTTCCTGGGATGCTGTGGCTTTCCGACTTCCTCGGGCGGTGGGATGAAATTGTCTTCCTACCCTTAGGATCTAAAAGAAAGACGAAGCCCATCATTCTAGTCAACCACGAGCCGACTGCCCCGCTCACCCCCGGCCTCTACGTGCAGCTGGTCAGCCTGGGCTTCTCGCCCGGCCAGGCCCGCACGGCACTGCACGCAACCCACGTTGCGGACCTGCCGGATAGCCCCTTGGTGGAGCAGGCCGCCAACTGGCTCCTTGAGAACGACAGCACCGACCGGCCCGCGCAACCTCAGTCCCCGGTGCGCCCCTCCTTCCAGGCGCGAATGGCCACAGCCGAGCCCCGGGAGAAGCGCACCGGGACAGTCAATGGTGCGGCAGCTCCGAGGGCCGCGGTCAGGGAACGGCAAGGAAGGCCGGGAAGCGCAGCTGGCGGGCAGGGCGCGGCCCGAGCTCCGGGGAGACCGCCCACTGCGCCCACGCAGCGAGCGGCACCAGCCCGCACCGCGGGGCAGTCTGGAGCGGGACCGTCGGGCACCGCAGACAGGCGAGATGCAGGTAGGCCGGTGACTCTTCGGCGCGGAGGAGTCCAGCCACGTAGTAGCGACGACTGTCGTCAGTCGAAGCTCCTAAAAGAGCGTCGTTTTTCTCTAAAACGTCAGCCTTCACCGACGAAAACCTCCGTGCTTGCATTGGATGCACGACGCGCTTTTCCAGTAGTAGTACCGTGGGTGACTGTAATTGGGCCATCGCTTCTTGCACGTCGCCGCCCACAAGTTAGCGCGTTCCCGAGGTTGTTGATCTCGAGCGCCATGCCTTCTTGCCAGATAAAACACTCTCCCGTGGCATTGTTTGGACGTGTTTCCATGATTCTGCTCGTCAATCTTCCCCAACCACTGCCATTCAATGCCGTCCTGCAATGAGGAGCTTTTGCTGCTTGAGCAGCAGGATGGAGGAGGCGCCTGCTATGCAACCAGTCAGGGCAGCTCAGCTAGTCAGACCTTGAGGCCTTCGACACGAAAGCCAGTTTTTCCTCCGTTTCCCACCTGCTATTTTTCATTTACGACCAGCAATCCATGTCTACCACGCAAAGAATCCATCAACAGGCAAAATCGTCCATTCGAGCTTGGCCCTCTGAAGCAGGCACATTTTGCCTCCCTATGTCAACCCCGCTGGACCGTGTCCTCATCCCGCCGCCCTTTGCTTTGTCCATTCCTTGACAGGCGGCCCCTCCAAGCCTGCTGCACCCCTGGCGGGCGGCGCCGTGCCGCTGGCGGTGCGCGTGCCCCCCCTCGCGGCGGGCGAGCGGTTCGATGCGCGGTACATGGTGGTGTGCCTGGTGGACCACCGCGAGTTCCTGGTCCGCAAGCTGAGCTCCGGGGACGTGCTGGCCGCCTTTGCTGCGCACGGCCTGCACGCGGACGTGCGCAACCTGGAGCTGGGCGACTTCCTGTGGGTCGCCAAGGAGCGCGACGGCCCGGGCGAGTACGTGCTGGACTACGTGTGCGAGCGCAAGCGCGTGGACGACCTGAGTCTTAGCATACAAAGCAGCAGGTGCGCGACGCGCGCTTGTACACTGGTACCGGCCATGTCCGACTGGGGGCTCCTACTGTTACAGACAGTTCTCCGAGCTGTAAGGGCTGGCCGCATGGTCCTTAGCAATGCTGGCTTCCTTGCAGTGCGTAGTTCAACAAGGGATTTGGGGAGCCCGCTCTTGCACCCCGCTTCGAGAGACGGCTTTTGCCCGCTCGCAATTTTCGGAGCCCCACGTGCCCCGCCCCTCTGTGTGCGCAGGTACCAGCGGCAGAAACACTTTCTGGACACGTGCGGGCTGCGGCGGCGCATCTACCTGCTGGAGGACGACGCGGACAAGATGGACGACCACGTGCGCATCAAGACGGCGTGCATCAACACGGAGCTCGTCAACGGCTTCGACGTGCAGCGCACCGCCGACTCGCGCGACACGCTGCGCCGCCTGGTCACGCTCACGGCCGCCATCCGGGACAAGCTGCAGCACCGTACCGGGGAAGCGCCGAACTCCCGGAAGGAGCCGCTGCCCACCTTCGCGGACTTCGACCGGCGGGCCAAGGCGTCGAGGCGGCGCACCGTGAAGGACCTGTGGGGGCTCATGCTGACGCAGGTCGGCGGCATTGGGAGCGACAGCGCAAATGTCATCATGCAGCAGTACCCCACCGCCGGCCAGCTGTATGAAGCATACCGCAAACTGGTGAGGCCTACAAAAGGGTGTCAGCCTGACCACAGCCACTCCTTGGAACAACGCATATGCTCACTTCTCTGCTCTTGTCTCTGCCTCCGGTTCGGCCCATTAGGTTTGCCGAAACTTTTTGATACTTGCTGGTACTTACACTGACGTAGGCTATCTCGGACAGATAGTGCGGACACCACTATCTGCGCCCTTCGTTACGCCCTAGGTACTGCGATCTATTGTCGGCTCAGTTTCACACCTCCCAACTGTTTGACCACAAGGGTTCCATTTTTACCTCCGCAGCAGAAAAGTTTGATTTGTTGAGAAGCTCTCTTATCCAGAATTACCGTCGTATTTCAATACAGGACGGGAAGCCGCAAGTGATGTCACAACAGCTCGTGGCCAAATTTGTTCGAAACGCAGGCGGTTTGAAAGTTGGGAATAAGGCGAGTGAGAATCTGTTCAAATTCATGTTCGATCCAACTCCTCCAGAGGATTCGCCAGAGGATGACAAGTAGATTTGGCAGCTTGGTCAGAGCAGACGTGCGTCCAAAGTAGAGGCTTCATCCAATCAGCATGTAAGAAGAGAGCAAATGCACAGAGAATCGTGACGGCAGTTCGCCGAAGTCTGTTGCTTAACGGAAGCCTGTGTCTTGCTTACGTACCCAAGAAGGGCGAGTTTTCTAGTAAACGTTAAAATCGAACAGAAAAGGATATGCAAATTCGTGTAAAGTGGGTGATCGGGAAGTGTTCAGGCAGAGTCAGACCAGATGCTATATAAGCTTGTGTTGTTGATTGATTTCGGACTTCCAAAGGACCTATCGTTATGTCTGGTGAAAGCTAGCATTCTTTTTTCGAGCTTCTAAGAAACTCGTACCAGGACATATGACGTTATACGATTGAATGGCCATCTTATCCCTGCCAACGTCACAGCAGCTGCAGTCTTTCCAAAAAGTGAAATACTTTTCGTGAGAACAATGTACAGGAATGTTTTTACAGTGCAGACACAGCGGCTTTGCGGAATTGGAACGGTGTCATTTCAATCGCTTGCCGCCCAGGACTCCATATGGAGACAAGGAATGCATGTGCACATGCAATCGGACATACATATGGATTCGACGAAATCTATTCACTCATGCGAAGCCCACCTAGGCAATTTGGATGTAGATTTAAGTTGATCGAGTTGGAGTGCTTTTTTTCTAGCTTTCAATCTGCAGCTACCTAACTGTATGATTATAGTGTATTGCCACAATGGCGTGCTTTACTCGTTCAAATAAGACCATGACTGCACATACATATGTGTTTGGCCAACTCTCTCAGGCAGATCATCGGATGCATGTGCATTAGAGTTGCGACTCTGTCGCATTGGGCATGCATGGCACGACAAACATCCACACATGCTATGGCACCTCTGTGCCTTACAAATGTTCGGCCTGCAATTGCTCAATGTATATCCATGGTGGCAAATGCGGTAATCCGTGCCTACATTCATGTAGAGTCGTACAAGGTGACCAGAAGCCAAAGTCGTCTGACATCAATCAAACTTGAAGCAATGTGGCCTGGAAGCAAGCGCTGAGATACATGAGCAAATTTCGCCCGCAAGGAGGATACCGAAGAGAGGGAAACAGAGAAAACAGAAAGCTAACCCGCTCAAGAATCGTGTCCCATGGCGGTGCCTGCTTCAATGTGAGCCGTGAAAGAACCTTGAAAACTTTCTTCCCCTCAACAAGAGCTTTGATGAGACAGAGTTAAAGCCTTCAAGACAAGGACCCAAGGCAAGCAGATTACCCACTCTCAACAACAAATGTTTGGTGACTGTACAAAGGGCGAAGCGACCATCCCGGTCTCAAGAAATTGGAGCAGGCATATTGGCGTGCATCTGGCCCAGCAGCTCCGTCAGTCGCATGTGGCAAGGTTCGTCACTCCTCCTGCCTGGCCGCCTGTACCGAACCCTGGTCACATGCTCACCGCCGCAAACGGAGGTCGTAGCCACCAACTCGTAATACTGCACAGAAAGAACGAAAATCTTGCCTGAGAATGCAGGGAAGCACAAAACCGCTGAGACAATACGTCTGAGGATTGCAGGGCACTTGCTATGCTGCAAAAGAAGACTTTATTTGCAGGTGACAGATGTATACAAGACGCAACCACAGGGTAGAGCGTGAGTTAAGACATTCAGGCCAGCCACAGTGGGCCCAGGAGACCCTAAATGCTCAATAACAAAACACGCCCGTCGGTAGCTCCTTCTTCCCAAATTCTACAACCGTTCTTTGATAGACAATCTTCTGTAATGTAATGGCCAATCTTTATTTGTTACGTCCAGGCCCGTACTACGGTACACCCAGGCCTGTCAGGCGAGCAAAGGGACCTTCCTCAAACCTCCAGATCAGTTCCTGGCCTGTTCCAGCGAGGCTGCGACAGGAGTCTCGCCGGTCCCCCTCACCTGGCACACCCCATGCAGCATGAGCCGGTGGAACGCATCGTCCAGCTGCATTTCCAGGTCGTCGCAGGCGCCTGCTCCCTCTTCCAGGCCCGCGTCTGCGTACGCGCCCACTGCCGCATCCATCTCGTGCAGGAGTGGCCAGTCCGCCCCTCGACGCAGGGCCTCCCGCAGCCGCCGCTCCACCGCCTTCCACCGCCGCTGAGCCACAGCCAACGAAGTGACCAGCTTGGCTGCAGAGGGGGGGGCAGCACCCCGGAGGAAGGAGTCCTGACAAGAAGAGGATGAGTCATCGAGCTTCCGAGACAAAAGATGTCAAGATTTGTAAAATGCCTCCAAGGCTTGTATTAAAGCCAGCGCCTTTTCTCAAGTCAACACCAAGAAAGCTGCAGACCATTAAAATCAACCCTTGGATTTTAATGGTGACAACTGCTAGGTCGAAAGCCTTTGAACTGGGGCTGAGTTGTCTGACTAATTGTGGCTGCATGGTAAGTCTCAACAGAGACGACCAGACGGGCAACAGGTTTCTGCCTGCGAGACTTCCCAATCATGTTTCTCAACCTTTCAATAAATACGGAGAGTCCCTTTCTTCAGAGGCTCTCCAAGAGTCATGCAGTGATGAAGTCTGCCATGTGCTACCTACGAAGGGATAATGACAGCGGCAGCGACAGCGAGCTCCCAGAGCAACGAGGAGGCCAACTTGACCACCTCTCACTTTAGCGACGTAGTACTAATTCCTTCACTGGGCACAACCACTGACGAGGACGCGCAAGTGGGGAGGAGACTGCGAACTGAATCTTTCCTATACATATGAATGTTCCAAGTTCGTACCCCTCACAAGCAAAACCAGCATTCTACCTCACCTCGTAGCCCTATGCGGGCCTGTGCATGCCACCCTATCAGCATCCAAACAACGGTTAGCCCTGCTGATCCTAGCCTTTCCGCACCTGCATGTCCATGTCCACTTGGCGGAATGGCTCCCATGCTCTGGCCGCCTCATTGTCCGCGGTGGCCTCCGTGATCCTGGCCAGGACGGTGGCCTGCACCTCCCCAAAGGGCGGGGGCGCATACAGCATGGCCATCTGGTCCGCATCCAGGGGCCCTGCCAAGTCCTGCAGCAGCTTCTCGTTTGCATACCGCCGGAAGGCCCGCTTGCCAAGCTGCATCACAAAACCGCCCAACACTCAGCGCCACAAAGCAAGGTTCTGAAACCTCAACAATCATTAGAAGCAACCTTCTTGGACGGTGGATCATAGCTTCTCAAATGACTTAGCAGACATGAGCCAGCTTGATCTCCTCCCTTCCTACACAAGGACCAGCCTCTCTAACTGCATAACAACCAAAGGTTTTGTGCCCAATCTCCAAATCATGCGCCCGATCGTCTGCAAAGCGGGCGCAACCAGCCCTACGTTGTTTACAAGCAACCCGGGTGACCTTACCAGGAAGTCCAACCTCCTCTCCTCCTCCGCTTCCGCCCTTGCAGCCATGCTGGTCGACCCAGACGCCCCTTTGCGCTTGTGCCCCTTCCTTCGCCGGCCTTCTTGTGGATCCACATCTGCCGCCCAAAGCTGCGCCAGGCTCGACGTCATCAGGAAGGGGCCGCGCATTTCCTCCATGCTGAACAGAGACCGACCTGCGTCCAGGAAGCACTCAAATCTGAACAACTAACCATCTGATGAACGGCATAAAAAGAGCCAAGCACAAAGCGCCACGTGTCCCCCCCTTCCGGCAAGGCTCGCTGCCGCGCCGCGCCACGGTCGCCTGAAAGTCCAGCGGGCAGTCGAACCGGGCTATTAACCGAGCGCCATTTCGGGCCGGAGACTCGCTGAGTCAGTTAAAACCCAGTGAGTTTGCCAGGGTGGCTGGGCCGTCCGATCGTGTTACTGGAATCCGGTTAGCCTTAACTATTGACATCAGGCTAGTGATTGCAGGGATGGCCACCCCTTCCCTTGCAGCTCCGCGGGGTAGCGGCGCACTTTGAGGGGGGGCGCTGTCCTGGGGGCTTCACCACGCATCCTTCGCCATGACGCCAACGTACTCGCCCAGCGTGCACTTTAACATCTGCTTGACGACGCCCTTGCCATTCCCTGTATGAAGAGCATTCACAGAGTGTGGTCAGATGATGAAGCCCTGGAAGTAATTTGATATGCCAGAGAACACGTAGAGCACTCAAACCAATATCCGCCAACGACTTTCAATGTGACGGATTGTCCGGCGGGTCATGCAGTCAATTCTCTCCGAGTCCCAGACTGGAGTAGGTACATGAAAAGAAGCCGTGCAGAAAGGGTGGCAGGAGTGAGAGAGCTGCCTCTGCCACTGAGAAGGATGTCACTTTTTCCATCGGATTCTGAGGAGGGAGCCGTCAATTCACTATTAAAGCCGAAGGAGAAGCAGCCGATGGCTACAAAGGCGTTACCCAAGGAGGGATCCTTTTTGTTGTGTGCCAAGGACGAGGTCACAGGGGAGCAGCTCACTGTTCGAGTTAGGGCCGATAGGATTGATGCGGGGCGGGCGGAGGAGTTGTTGGAGTCTGAGTACAGCGAATTTTACTCAGAACCTGAGGTCGGGGCTCCTTTCTCACTGTCATGCCATTCAGACATCGCATTTGAGATAGTTCAAACTGTGTGCTGTTCTACCTTCTTTGTCGCACTTTAGCAGATTGCCTTTGTCCTTACTTGCCAGTCACTTTCCAATTCCGCTCATGAAAGTTGTTGATCATACCTGCGCCATTGAATCTTGTTGGCATGGCATACTCAATACGGCTCAGCTTCTTGTGTGCAGGAATCGGGCCTGCCAGAAGAGGCTCTGGGTGGCATAGCGGGTGTGGTCGTACTCGATGTTGACACATGCTCGTCTGGACTCAAGAACTTTAAGCAGTGGCTGTGGAAGGGCATCAGCTCGCTGACTGGCTTGGATGAGGAGGAAAAGCGTGATCTGCGTCGACTTGCGAAAGACCTTGAGGTGGGTGCGTTATGCTTGCACGCAGCTGCACAGTAGAAAGGGTTTGAAATTGTAAGGGGCCTGGTTTGGACAAGGCGGGGTAAGTTTGATCAATGCTGAGAAGAGCAGCAGGCAAGCAAGCAGTAAAGTTCCACATACTTGTCCACACATGCGGCCAATAGAGGAAGCACTCAATTGTTTTGAGTCTCTCAAAGTATGCTGAGGCCCTTAGCATGTTTTTAGAGATTGCTGATCTGTTCTGGAGTGGCTGTGTCTGATTTCGTGCAATATCTGAATCTGAATTCGATTGTGTGCACTGTTACCACCAACCAGCTCGCTAGCAAGCACTTTTTGCAGCTGCAATGCATAACTTAGGGATACAAGACCAGTCTGGACATTTTAATGCTAGCCCATACCCGTAGTCTGCATGGATGTCTAGAGTTCTGCAGAAATTTGTTTGGTGCCCTGTTGAGCCACTTCATCTCCTTGCAGATGGGACAGCTGGAGCGCCAGCTTGCCAACAAGAAAGCGCGAGTCAGTGACGTTCTTCCAGTGCCAGTGCCCGAGGCGGGGGCGGCTGCGAGGGCCTTGTCTGAGCGCGACAACCATTCAGCCGCTGCTGCTGACGAGCAAGGTCATGACAGTCTGGTCACGGAGAAAATTGCCAAGGACCTGGATGGTGAATATGATTCCTATACTGCAGGTAAGAAGAGCTTGGAGAGTCATTTTGATAAGGGAGCAAGGGAAACTCATTTTCATAAGGGATCAAGGTTTCTTGTCTTGCTGCAGGCGCTTCTGACATCATAGAGACTAGTCCCTTGCTCATGTTTCCTTGCACTTTGCAATTTGGTCCAGGTTGTCCATTTCATAGGTTCTCCACTTGGCCAGAAGCGAAGCATAAGTGATCTACGGAAGGAGTCTGGTTCAAAGGTAACTCCCAACATTGCTCTTCTGCAGGGCTTGAAACAATTGTGCTCGGGTATACGCGTGCACTGAGTAAGCTGACCGTGGCGGAACTCCAGAGCTATTGCAAGGCATACAACATCAACCTCCACGTGACCAAGAAGGAGGACTCTAGGCACATCTTTACAAAGCGCTACTACACCAGCTTCGTCACCGCACCAGAGGCGGTGGAGCACTTTGAGGTTTCCAATGGGCAGCCACTCGTGGCGGGGAAAGAAGTCGAGCAGACGCTACCAGCTCTCAGGCGCTGGTGGCCGTACATGGAGAAGCATGGTGTGGTGAGATGCGTGCCCTTGAAACTTCAACAAGGGTCATTTCCTTGAGGGGTTCAAATGGGTTTGATGACTTGTTCCATCAAGGTACGTTAGAGCCAACTCTTTGGGGGAAACAAATAGCTCCGATAAGTTCTTCCATCTAAATGCATCAGAGAAGGCGGATTCATGGCTGAGATACTTGAAGGAGGCTGCAATATTTGGGAGATGCAGTTGTCTGTTCAGTGGATGTGGCCGATATAGGGACTGCTGCTCGTGCTCTCCCATGGCCGTTGATGACATGTAGACTGCTGCTTCTGACCAGTAGGCACCAGGACCGCCGATGTCTGCCTTTAGAGGTTTGCTGTCTGTCCTTGTATGCTTTCCTTTCTAATCAAGCAGCTCATGTTGTCGGGGTCGAAGCGGGAGACTCATCATCCCCAGCTGATGATGTGTCTGAGCTGTTGTTGGGGTTGATGTGTCACCTGCTTCTTAGTTCTTTGAAACATTTTATCGCTGCAAAAGCTTTTTGAATCGCTGCTTATTGCAATTCAATTGGAATCTAACAATCTCAGGTGGCCCTTCGCAGAAATTCTACGAGCCCCAAATCACCTCCCAGACGTCGGGCATTCAACTCCAGTCCGTCTTCCGCGCGAACCAAGGAGTTACGCCGCCTGTCACGCTCAGCGGAAGCCCTGACGTGATCTTGTCGGGAAGGCGGCGGGGTGATGATGGGGAGTGGCTGCGGCCGGCCATTTTTGATGATGAGGGCCACCGAACACCCCGGGAGGATGGAACACTGACGAACTGGAAGACTGCGCTTACGAAGGAGGAACTGCGGCTCGCGCTGGAGGAGTCGCCTGCTGTCATCGAGGCAAAACCAAGCGATTCGGCCCTGGCGGCGGCACAGGTAAGATCTGCTTTCAAGCAAGTGCAAGATCGGTACTTCGATGTCGTTGGTTGCATTTGGAAGGTCTTTGACATTGGGTAGTGTTTGTGGCAGTGCAGTCAACGGTTTTCGAGTTGGCACTTGTCTGACAATTCTGAGACAACATTTGTCTGACCGTGAACTTAGACTTGTTGTCATATGCTTCGAGGTCCTTAGGAGCGTTGCCTATAGTGGACTGGACGGCTTCATCGAACTTGTCGAAGTGAAGGCAGTATCTAATGAGCAACCAGCTTTCTCAGTTTGCGTACTGGCGTTTGCAGTTGTTTTCGGGAACAATGTGCGCAAACGCGTTCGCATCTGGACCGGTTATCATGGTGAGAACGGACTTCTTCCGGGAGTACGACATCTGCGCTCCGGAGGACCGCCACCTCACGCTTTACAGGGACTTGCCGGCCAATGTTGCTTTGCCGTTCATCATCAAGTGGCTCAAGACTCCGAAGCACCTGCTGCCGCATCGGTGCGCAGCGGGAAGGCTGTTCATATGTGGAGCCTTGATCGCGCTCGAACCGAAGCAAAGGAGACGGCATTAGTTGAGCAAAACAAGGCCCTAAAAGAGTACCTCAAATGATATTGGAGCCAGTGGTACAACGCGGCTTTTGCTTGGAGCATGTTCAGCGTTTTTGGCACGATTTGATTGGGAGCCTAGAAGTGAAACGGCTTGTACAATTGGCCCTCAAGGTCTGGCCATTTGATGTTCATGCCTGGCGGCCGCTTAGTCAATGACGTCAACAACCAAACACGTATTATGCACTGCGGTTGGTTGCATCAACCCTGTCCAAGTGTCCAGGCTTTGCCATCATTTTTGAACCGGCTTCACCAATAACATCATTAGTCGATTCAATTTTGATGTAATCCGCTACGATTGATTGCACGAACCCCATCCAAGTGTCCGAGCATTTGGAGGCAGCTTAGTCAATAACGTCAACAAACAAACACGTATTATACACTGCGGTTGATTGCACCAACCCTGCTCAAGTGTCCAAGCATTGCCATCATTTTTGAGGCGGCTTCACTACTGACATTGTCGCTCGATCCGTTTTCAGTGTTATCCGCTATGATTGATTGCATGAACCCCGTCCAAGTGTCCAAGCTTTTGCCGTGATTTTTGAGGCGGCTTCGTCGATGACGTAAGCAACTAAAACGGCCGGTACTGTGCGCTACGGTTGATTGTACGGACCCCGCCCAAATGTCCAAGCTTTTGCCATTATTTTTCGACCGGGCTTCACTGATGACGTCAGCAACCGAGCCAACAATCCATGCCCGGAGTCACCCGCTGCAATTGATTGCATCAACCTGTCCAAGTGTCCAAGCTTTTGCTATGATCTTTGAGGCGGCTTTGTTGATGACGTCAGCAAAACGTGTAGTATGCGGTACCGCTGACTGCACAGATCATGTCCAATTGTTCAAGCTTTTTGCCACTATTTTTCGAGCGGGATCAATGACCAGGTTTTGTTCGGCGACTCATTGAAGAAGTAACCGTTGCGAAAACAAGTACATTCATCCTAACAGTATTGGTCTATGTTCTAATTGTGATTTACTCGTATATATTCGTACTTAAGACCAAGATAACACGGTGTGCGCTTTGACGGGTCCTCGTCAAAGCGGCCTCCTCTCTTCGTCCTACAACTAACCATCTGTTGAACGGCATAAAAATCTGCCAGCCACAAAGCGCCGCGTGCCCCCCCTTTTCGGCGAGGCTCGCTGCCGCGCTGCACCAAGGTCGCCCCGAACACCTGCAGGGTCAGTGACAAGTTGGCACTGACCCAACTTCGGAACCCGCCACTGACCTGATAGCCTGATAACCCTATAGTTTCGTCGTCCGAACGAGCCTTTGCCGTCCAATTGCGAGCAGCGCGCGCAGATTCACTGACTGGGTCGTCACTGAGTCAGTGACTCGGACTCTGACTCAGAATCCATTGCCAGGGATGGATGGCCTTACGATATCGTGTCACTGAAGGGAAAGGACGACTCACCGTCCGATAAACCTTCAGGTGGTTGCAGAATATGAAAAAGGCGGGCCCGACTCGGCAGTCTCAGCCTGGTTCGACAACTTCTGGAAGCTTTAGTCAGCCATAATCTGAGTCAGCACTCGGAAGCTTCGAAGCTTGGAAGCTTCTGAGTCCAAGCATAGTCTAGAAAGAAAAGCGGATTCACGTAAGCAGAAGCAGAGCAGGGAGAGGTTCTTCAAGCACAACCTTACGTACGACTGGCCTAGCTGCTTGAAACATGGGTATTAATGTCGGATCTTTCATTCGAAGATAAGCATTCTCCAGACCTCATTTCAATCGAACGACGGCTCGGACAGTACTTTGGCAAGAGCTCACAATCTCGAATTCCGCCGTGGACGGGAGTCACGCTGTCCATCTAGAGGAACCCTCATCTACGAATCTGTCTTCGTGGACGGCTCGGACAGCACTTTCGCAGAGAGCTCGCAATCTCGAATTCCGCCTTGGACGGGAGTGCTGTCCATCTAGAGGAACTCAATCACGAATCTGCCTTGATAGACGGCGTGGACGGCTTGGACAGCACTTTGAAAGATGTCACAATCTTCATTCTTGATAGTTGTAGACGGGAGTGTTGTCGATCCAGAGAGAGGCTCATCTAGGAAATTGCCTCGATGGACAGCTTGGACGGCTCGGACAGCACTTTGGCACGGAGCTCAAAATATCGATTCCCGCCGTGGATGGCAGTGCTGTCCATCTAGAGGAACTCTCATTCACGAATTTGTCTTCATGGACGGCTCGAACGGCTCGGACAGCACTTTGGAAGAGTAGCTCATTCGTATTCTGTTTCCAGCTTCACCACCATGGAGAGCGATGGCGCAATGCTTTGGCTTGCAACCTACCAGGCTGTGGACTTTTAGGGTTCGAACGTACACGTGATGACGTTTTGCAATTGGTGCCTGGTATCTTTGGCTCATAGCCTGGATATTCCCAAGTCCACCTTGAACATTTGTTGGGATTGGCCGTCTGCTTCACGCACGTCCTGCCTTTCTGCCTAACTGCAAGACTGAAGAAACATTGGCCCTTTTTTGTGACAAGCCGCCTTGCATATACAACATGCCCTGAATCTACTATCGAATGCAGGGGTCGGAAAACTCTGGAAACCACTCGACATCGTCTGATGGTGACGATGCGAAGGTGCTGACGACGAGTCTTCTGAATCGAAGGACGAGGAGACTGCATCGGACAAGGAGATGCTGGACGACCTTTCACAGCCGGTTGATTCCACACATGACCATCGCCTTGCGGACCAAGAAAGAGAGATGGGAGCAAGTACGTTGGTGAGCCGGAGCCTACTCGAGTGCAGCTCAATTAGCGTCTCTATTCACGTATTTCTCTCTCACTGACAAGACTTTGGAATTAGCTCACGATCTTGACTTGGATCCTTCGATGGATAGTGATGCAGTCCATCTAGCTCATCTACCAATTCGTCTTCATTGACAGCTTGGACAGCTGAGCCAGCACTTTGAAAAGAGCTCACGAATCCGATTCTGGCCTCGATACCGGCCAGGAGCGGACGGGACTGCTGTCCATCTAGAGAAACTCTTAACTACGAACTTATCTTCATGGACAGCTTGGACGGCTCGGACAGCACTTTGGAAGTAGCTCATGATTTCGATTCGGCTTCGCCTCCGTCATTGGCCTTCGGAGGTTTAAATTGGACCCTGTGCTGTGGGCTCACAACTAAGTTGCAGACTTGTGTGTTTGATTCTGACGATGTGTGCAATTGGTGCAGGGAGCCGCAGCTCGCGACTTGGTTGCCAAAGGCTATGTCGTGTTCACGGCAAGCACCCAGTGGGACCCCAAGGCAAAGAGAGGGAAGGGAGGAAAGAAAATGATACCCCCACGAGATTGGCCGGCCTCTACCTTAGCAAATTGCCTGAGCGACCGCTTCTTCCAGCCCTATAATACGCTGCTGATCAACACGGCAGCTTGCTCTCTGAGAGACCGAGCACGGCGCGTTTGATGCTCCTCGAGTGCGCACGGGCAGCGGGGGAGTACACGTCTACTTCTCTTATGGAAGAAGCCTTGAATCGGGGCTGGGCGTCGAGACGCCGACCCACTTTGCAAAGCTGGAAGCTGAGGGTCCGAGATCCGGTATCAAGAAAGGAAGTTTTGAAGAAGGTGGGAGTCGACTCGCATGAGGGGCGTCAGTTCGAACGGTATGATCGCTTGCCCGCCTTCATCGTAAGAGCGACTTGGGGAGATAGCCCGGTACACCGTTGATGGTGGAGGCGAGCTCCCCCCGGCAGAAGATCTGCCCCCTCTTCCGAAATGGTTGATCGGGATTCTGAACGAGCGAGTGGCGAGGGGCTCTGGGGAGCGCGCGAGACGGCCATCAGAGGTCCCAAGCAGGGCGGAATCCAGCGCGAGGGCCAGCGCCGTACTCGGGGCGCCGGATCTGACGGATCTTGGATTGCAGCAGGAAGTGGTCGAGGTGATGCGGGGCATGCTCAGCAGTTTTGGCGACAACTCCTCCGTCTTCTCGAAGGCAGAGTTGAGCACGGTTGCCGGTCTAGGGGTGGTAATGTATCACTGGCGGAACGGTGCGGAAGGGCGAGTGTGTCCGTATGCGGAGGATGGGGCGCAGCCGCACAGCAGCAACAACTTTGGGCTCCTCAGGAGAGGGACGGAAATTACCTACGTGTGTCACAGCCAGCGGTGCAAGACCGGCGACGGCTGCCGCAACAAGAGACTCGGGCGTCTCATGTTTCCGGTGGCCGCATCTTTCTCGGATGCTTTTCCGCTGAACAGCGACCGCGATCGATTGTACAAGAATCGAGAACTGCTCCCCCTCTGGTTCTTGCGGCAGAACCTCTCGGTTTTGGCAGGTGAGGCGCGCTTCGAAGACTATCACGACTAGTTGCTATCAAGTAAAAGATTTATAGGTTTGTCCAGATTGGACAGACTTCCAGTTGAAAAAACTTGACTTCGTCCATTTGGCGGACGAAGTCAAATTCGAGGGACCCTGCCAGTGCGACCCTCGATGCCCCCCAGTCACAAGTGCACAAAGTCAGGTGACTATTACCAACCTCTTGCAAGTTCGCTCTCGCAATTTTTGTGGCAGAAACTAACGGGTTTGACAAGTAAGTTGCGCTTCAAACAACACGTCAAAGTTGGATGACCCTCAGATCGCAAAATCCAGAATTGACTGTATTCCCGGTATACAGCATCCGGAGGTCCGTCCAAATTTGGACGGACTTCAAATTCGAAGGTCCCGGTCAGCGCCCCAACCCGGTCACCTGAGCACAAGGTTTCCATACATACAACTTCTTGCAAGCCTGTGCTCTTGCGTTTTATGCAGACCGGAGCCAATATCCATTTCTTGACTTACCTTCTGAGAACAGATTGAAGAAAGTCGGAATCAAGGACCACGTAGGGAGAAAAAGTATCAATTGCAATGGTTTGCAGGGAGCCGTGCACGAACTGCTTCTTAGGACAAGTGACTGGCCGCCCGTAAACATATACTGTGGACGTGGGGTCGCCCCTCGCTTGTCAATTGACAAGTCGATGACATTTCGTTTGAGGTGATGAGGGAGGGGCGCTCATCATCGATCGCTTGCAGACGTACGCGGGCCGCAATCTCGTCTTCTGCAACGAGAAGTGGTTCTACTACAACGGGTCGATTTGGGTGGTGGACGTGGCTGGGCGAGTTGCGAGCCAAATCTGCCGCGGGGAGCTCAACAAGATCAGCAAGGCGTACAAGAAAGAGACCGCGTCCGAAGCCGAAGGCGGAGGTTCGCAAGCGGAGGAGGAGAAAAGGCCCAGGAAGGAGAAGCTCGTGAACTTCAACTTCAACGCCAAGATGAGCCAGATCATGACGACTCTCAAAGGATATTGCCTGGAGCCTGCGTTCGAGGAGGCGCTCAATACCAACAGAGATGCGCTTCCTCTTCAGAACGGCGTCGTCTTGCTGGAGAGCGGGATCCTGGTGGCACACCATCCGAAGGTGGGTATATGGTTCTTTTCACTACCAAGAACA